CAATCCCCTAATCTTTTATATATCTGAACAAAAACCTTGCTGGTGACATAGGTATTAAGTATGATATTATATGTCTAAAAGATTGTGCTTCTTATCCTTCCTTTTACACTCTCTCATCATGCATGTATGTTATCAGAGTTTGGTTCTGTGCATATCTTGTCGACTATACCTCTGTGGAATTAGGCTTGCCAGAATTAATTTTAACAACAACCATATTATTCTGTTAACATAACCTCATTCAACTGCCACCAAAACAACAAAAGTATAACACATTATATTTCAGAGATAATTTAAAATTCTAAGAAAGCAAAAATAAAAAAGCGATCATACGTGCCAGTAGATCCGACATAGGCGTGAATACTCGACGGATCTAAAGGGCGCGATCAGACAGCAACATCTGGGAAGCGTCCCGCAGTCATTGGCAACCCGTGCTGCTCCGCCGCAGAAGTGGAGTAAAAAGACACCAGAGAAAATCGGGTAGTAAACGGGTTGCCACGGGCCATGAACAGAATTTTCCCTGTCTGATCACACAAGCACGCATGGATGCTATCAGGATGGTCGGATTAGGCCATCCTGGCTCAGTGACATTCCCCCCCTTTGCAGTATGTGCATCATCGCATACTCATAGGGGTCCCTCGGTGTGGAGGTGTGACACGAAACAAATGACAAAAAAAGAGACTCACCCATAGTTGCGTCTGATCACTCAGTGATGGGCTGAGCCTGCAGCTATGAAGGGTGGTGTGATCTTGCAACTGCAGGACAAATTACTCCCCTCCGTTTCAACTGGCGCGTGTGACCGCAGCCATAATTCCCCAAATATATTCAAGGGTCTGCTATCATACAGTACTAAATGGACTTTCCCAGTTTCAGTAGTTAATAGAAGGTACCCCAATTTCTACAAATTTCAGCATTGGCCATAATTTCCATGTCCGCACATATTTATACATTGTAATCTGATCGATATGAAACAAATCTCATTCAGTGATTGCCTCAATACTGGAATCATTTGCTGCTTCCACATTTGAGCCAAAGTAATTCTGACTGCAATAAGCTAGTAAGTATAGAATAATTTGTTTTCTTAGTAAAAATAGTTGTTCATATGCTAATACCTTGTCTTTGCAGCCGTTGCACCATTTAATAAGGCTTTAAAACAAAACTTACGGTGTATAGGTCTGTATTTTCATACAACTGTAAAAAAATTATTAAACTAAAGTGTCTATTTTGTTGGACTTCTTCCAGTTCTAGACGTTTTCTCAGAGTCATGCATGGAATCAATGGCACTCAGATGCTTGGAATCCTTCTTGTTAAATTTTATGTTCCCCCATGATGTAATTACTTCCAGTCAAAGCCTTTTCATCTTGCATATGAAGTTTTAGAAACCCACAGCTACAACTAGGACTGGCCAGAGATGCCAGGAATAGCACCATGGCATCTCTGTTGATCTTAGCCCAGAACATTATATCCTGTTAGAACAGCATTCTGACCCAGTCAAAATAAAGGTTATTTATTATTGTTCCTAATCCCAATACATTTAAGGGCATGTTATCCGAGGTTCATAAATTATCTTGGTGAATGCTTATCAAAGCTAATAAACTCTTTAAATATTCACAATAGATCAACACAGTCATTCAGCACAGGTGTTGTTTTAGTTATGACACATGAGAAAGCTCATGTTTTGTGACCTCAAGTCCCCCGTTTCTCTCTATCCAGTGAGAATCCTAGTGGAAAAATGAGGCTGGAGTACATTGTATATGTTATGTAAGATAAAAGCACTGCAAAAATTAAGGCCTTTTACAGAATTTATTGTTTTTTTAAAGAAAAAGTGAGGATGTTTTATGGCTTGAAAGTAAAAAGAACATTTACCTCATGTTATAAGTATATGCAGATGTTAGTGGACAGTGCTAGAACTATACTCACAAGGAGAATTATTTTTGTGGAGTCTGCTTGAGGACCAACAACTGTGATAGAGCAGACAGCATTTTGGCCCTGGTTGGTGGGGACCCTGCTTATCTGAAGTTTGTTAGATAATCACTGTTGTTCAGCCTAAACTACCAATAGGTTTATTGTGGAATTGTAATTCAGTGTGGGTCATCTACCTTGCGTAGGAAATATCTGACTTTGTAATTCAGTGGGTCATCTGCCTTGCATAGGAAATAACTGACTTTTCTTTCTTACCCAACGGGAGAGCAAATATGCTTTCATTACACAGATTAGAACTGTTATTTCTATATAGACTGTTTGGGTTACGCTATACATTATACAATAGTGTAGTTGTACATATCAATGGCCTTTTCTCTGTTGTAAAGTGTTCTTGGGAAGGGTTCAACACATGAACTTGCCTTTGCCTTATACTGAGTCAGACCATTGGTCTTTCAAGGTCAGTATCATTTACTTTGACTGACAGCAGTTTTCCAGGTAAGGGATACCATTCCCCAGGTGGAGGCGGGGATCTCCCGTTTTTGTGGGTTCCTGCCCACTGCCAGCTTTCTGGCCAGCAGGACGAAACTCCCTCCACCCCTGACGCCATGTGCAACATGCCGATGTCACCCAAAAGTGATGTCAATGCATTGGTGATGTCAGGGGGGATGCTCTGGTTTTTGGGCAAAACTCTATGGCTTGAGGGCATTTTACCATAGAGTTTTGCCCAAAAATCAGAGCATTGCCCCTGATATCGCCAACGTGCTGGCATCACTTCCTGGTTACATCAATGCATCGTGCGATGTCCCTGCCCACCTCCGAAACACCCCCAAATCCCCCCACCGGCACAAGAAAGGGACCTGGCAACCTTACTCCAGGTTCTTAAGAGGAGGTCTTTAGCATCACCTGCTACCTAAGTCTTTTAACTGGAGGTACTGGGGACCAAACCAGGGAACCCGTGCATGCAAAGCAGATGCTCTGCTACTGAACTGTAGCTCATTCCCTGATTCAGGTTCTGCATAGCAGAGAAGGGATGGACAAGAGGGTGGTTCCCCTGACAAATAATTTTCTCTAGAAACTTTCCCACTGTTGTTTCCTTCCCCCTCTGGGTCTGTAAATGTGTGTGTGGACCTGTTGCCATGAGGTAAACTTAAACGTGAGATACTGTGGAGGAGGAGTAAAAACAGTTGGATAAAGTTTTGTTGAAAAGAAAGTGGTTTCCCTCTGCTCCTTTTCCACTGCAGATTGCTTTGAAATGAGGAGGTGCCCCTTGGACTAATATTACAGTTAGCATCAGTGTAATATATACTTTGGCCCTTAGACATGGCTGTTGTGGAAGGAAGAAAACTTGCTGAGATACATTTATGTGCCTTGACCTTTCTAAAAGCCTGGTCCTAAGATGTACTCAGACATCATGGCAAACCTCAGTTAGTACGTGATGCATATGATCACAGCTTGTTCTCATGCTCCGACTCCTTCCCTACCTCCCTTGTGCATCGACCATGATTGATAAGACTTCCTGGTTGTGATGGCTCCAGTCAAACTTAAATTTGACACCTGGTCAATGTTCCCTCTAAGGTGTGGAGTCTTGTGAGCAAAAACTCTACTTTGTGAGCTATCAATGTTAAAGTTGTGAGCAAGCGATTCGGCTACTACATAAATTAGTTTGCTCTGGAGCCATCCTTCCTGAGTGAAGACACAAATGTGTGAGCTGGAGGTTAAAAAACTGTGAGCTAGCTCAGACTAACTCAGCTTAGAGGGAACACTGCACCTGGTGCTTGGACAAATCCCCACAATGGAATTTTAAATTCTGATGTGGCTTAGCCTCCTAGTTTGTGAGGAGAAAACTAATTTGCCCAAGTTACCTATAGTCAGCCACCACAGCAAACTGGATTTCATTGAAGGGTTTGCAAACCAGGGAGCTTTCAGTCATGCTCTGGGTGTGTGAAAGGGAGAAGGAGCATGAGGACAGTCGCCTTTGTTCCTCCCTGACACCGGTAAAGAGTCTTGCTGTGATGTCTACATGCAGCCTTCAGTCTTGCTGAATCTATTGCACTAATATTTGATGCTGTTTCTGCTCCCCTTTTCAGCTGGTACTTTTCAGTTTCAGATTGGTCTGCTTTACTGAAATCTGGCTGGATGAATCAGTGGGTTGAATATTAGCCCAGCATGTACTGGCCTGGTAGTCCACTTTGCCCAAGCATAAAGCCATGGATGGGTGTGTAGGGGGGGGGGGGGGTCTGTTCCTGCAATCTGGAAAATACCTTTCTTCTGTTCCAGGTATCCAGTCAGACTTAGGGTGGTGACTGCAAGTGTTCCCTCTAAGCTGAGTTAGTGTGAGTTAGTTCACAGTGTTTTAGCCTCCAGCTCACAGATTTTTGTCTTAGCTCAGGAAGGGATGGCTCCAGAGCAAACTAATTTATGCAGCAGCTAAATCGCTTGCTCACAACTTTAATGCCAGTAGCTCACAAAGTAGAATTCTTGCTTACAAGACTCCGAAGCTTAGAGGGAGCATTGGTGACTACTCATGGTGGCTGAGAACCAAGGAAGCCTAGGGACTTTGTTGGCATACCATTCACCCCACTGCCTATAGAACTTCTTGACTGAGTTTGTGGAGTTGCTCTGGGGTTGATGTTGTGTTTATGCAAAATGTGATAGTCTTGAAAAGCTCCGATATCTATGTTGAGGCCCTCTTATCTGCTGAAGCAAAAATGTTGTCTACTAGGACAATTGTGGGCATGCCTGGTTTGTAAGTGGCCCTGCCTAATGTTGATTGACAGACCAAGTGGTTTGGGGATGGTGGGGATTCCAGTACTGGGAAATTTCATCCTTCCCCTGCAAGAATCAGGTTCATAGCCTGGGTGTGCTTCTGGACCCAGCTTTGCCACTTGATGCTTAGGTGGTGGCCATGACTAAAAATGCACTTTATCAATCATGGCTCATATACTGGCTGTATTCTTTTCTCTCAGCTGTAGATCTTGCTGCCATAATCTGTATTTTGACATAAACACACTTGTGGGGGGGGGGGTAGTGCAATGCATTATGTGGGGAGTTGTCATATAAAATATTAGGAAGCTTTAGCTGGTGCAAAACTCTGTGTGATCTGCCTTTCAGTGGAGACTGAGAATGGGGAGCAAATCAATCCTACTGTCTTCCTTCTCCGTACTGGGGACTGATTAGGTCCTGATTTTATACTTCAAAGCCTTATGTGTGCTGCATACATGGAAGAGCATCTCTCCCCCCCCCCATTTTCTTTCCTGACCCCTGAAGTTGGGAGGATTCCACTTTGGATCCTGTCCTTTAAAGGGGGGGGGGGTTCAGTGAGGCCTCTCAGGCCACCAGTATTGTAGAATTCGTTCTCCAGGGTTAACCATTTTACATTATTTTCTGCTCACTGTGAAGACCTGCTATTTCAGCAGGCTTTTTATATCTCTGTTTGTCTGAATCAGAAAACCGTAAATGGATGATAATTCTGTTAGGAACTGTTTTATCAGGAAGTAAAGATGATTTCATCTACGCATGCAGGAATAAACACATTTAGAACATGAAGTTGTTACTTCATCCTGTAGGTCTTTATCTCTGTCAATATTTTTATATTTAGTTTTCTTGTGATTGATTTATGACTTTTTAAAAGACTGTTAACTGTGGTTACTATGCTACTATGATAGCATTTTGTAAATAAATACCAGTAAATGTCTATTTGAGGATGAAGTACCAGTTTCGTGTTCTAAATGTGCTTATTCTGGCATATGTAGATGAAGTCATCTTTGCTTCCTGACAAAATAGTTTCTGATAGAATTATTATCATCTGGCATTTGTTCTATCTGGGCAGTTACGCAGCTTCTGATGCCAAGAAAGTCTGTGACCTCCTTTGTTGTCCTTTCACATCACCTCTTGACGTCTGAAAAGTGCTTAGGAAGCCTTACTCATGATTTTACCAGGCGTTTATTCTCAGTCTGTTTATTGTGTTTCTTTATTCAGAGATACCACATTTCAGAATTTTAAAAGGAAAATTGAGTGGAAAATTTTCATTTGTTAGTATGTAGAAGAAGAAGAACAAGAGATTGGATTTATACCCTGTCCTTCACTTGGAGTCTCAGAGCGGCTTACAGAGTGTGAAGAAGTGTGCATGCACATGAAAGCTTATATCTGAAGAAGTGTGTATGCACACAAAAGCTTATACCAAGAATTAAACCCACCTGAATTAAAAAACACAACATTTAAAAATCAATGGGAGATCTTTTTATCTTCCAGGACATTCCATTGCTGACCTAAGAGTGGCAAACAGAGAAGCCTCAGGGGTAGATTACAACATGAGATTATTGATCTTGAGTTCATTCACAAATTCAGAACAGTGGACCCACCTGGGCTGAATAGGGACTTAGAATTCTTATTTTATTACAGATGCTAATTTTCCACCCCCAAGCATTTCCCCTCTGCTCTAATCCAGCTGATTATAATGGGCATAGTACCTCTGCATCCTGAGTTCCTTTTCTGCAATACTCATCCTGCCTTCTGATTGGGATATAAGGACTCCATTCTGTCCTGTATCTGTCAAAGGGAGCTTTGACTCTTGAGTACTTATACCCCAAAAATCTTGTTTGTCTCTAAGGTGCTATGGGGCCTGATTCTAGCTGTTCTACTGCAGACCAACATGGCTACCCCTCTGAAACTCCTTTTTTATGTTACTGCACTGGCAGTGTAGTGGGTCAGGCATATACTAAACAGTTTATAATGTTCATTTGGTTAGGGCCTGCTATAAGAGTGGGCAGCTGACAGTGGAAGAGCTGGATGTGAGACCTGTGACCGCAGGAGAGTCTACCCTGTAGGTTCCCAAACTTATTTGGCCTACTGCCAAAAGGCTGCTTTAGATAGGTTCTGGAATCTTCTTTCTTTATGCTTCCACCGCCCCCTTATTTGTATTCAACACCCCCCAATTGCACCCAAGGCTCCGACCACCAACCCGGATCATTTTAGCACCCTCAGGGGGCGGGATGGTCTATACCTTGGGCCTTCTCCTATTCACACACCCTACTCCTTTCCAGTTGCCTTAGGGACTGAAAGGAGACAAACAGCATGTACACAGGCAAAAGGAAGGAGAAACCCAGTAGGCAAGCCTGTTGTATTAGTTACTTTTCCTCTGTGTGTACGATCTTCATTTGCCTGAAATACATTTAATTTATGGGTCCATATAATTTGACCACCTCGTTACTCATATTGAGTGGATGTCATTTATGCAGTCTGGATAAACAACCCGGCCTTTTTAGATTCAAGCAGGTCATTTCTTGTTTTCTTTTATCAAACAAGGTAATTTTTCAAAATCTTAGCAAGTTTGCAAAGGGGTTCAATATGTATTATGCAGATGTGTGTACAAGTCATGGGAAAAGTTTATATGACAATATGTGGTAATAGAAACCTTATTGTATCTTGGTTTACAGGTTTATCATTGCAGACCTGTCAGACTCTGAAAGTGACATATTTGAACAATCCAAGGAGTGGACCACACAGGCTGCTGAAGAGCAGCAACAAGCGTTCAGTCATGGAATAGAGCTTATTCCCTGGTACGTGCTGTCAATCAGAGCTGATGTCCACCAGTTCATGCTACAAGGGGCAACAGTGATACATTATGACCAGGAGACGCATTTTTCAGCACGCTGCTTTCTTCAGCTCCAGCCTGACAACAGTACATTAACGTGGATGAAATCCAACGCTGCTTGTTCTGCAAATTCTAAAGTGAAACCAAACATGCTTGGTAGCACTTCTGAACTTGGTAAATTTCAATTTCTTGGCAATACTGGATTAAACGGACTGGTGGAAGGCTGCTTAGACCTCTTTTCGGCAAAAGCTGTGTATATGGGCCACTCTGGCATTGATATACATGCTATTTGCATCCAAAATAAACTGTGCAATATGTCCCTTGAAGAGAACGGTGTAACACTCTTATATGGGCTTCAAACTACTGAAAATAAGTTGTTACACTTTGTGGCTCCAAAATATACTGCCAGAATGCTTTTTGAGGGATTGCTGGAACTAATGAAAGCTATAAGAAAAATGAAGAAATTCCCTGACCAGAGAATGCAGTGGCTGCGTAAACAGTATGTCAGCCTCTACCAGGTAAAGTAAACTGTGATAGAATATGGGCTCTATAAGGCCCACTAAGTGATACATTTTCCTTTCCCCCCACTGTTGCTTCCATGGTCTTCTGTTTGTAATAGCTGCTGAGGCCCTAATCCTGCTACATCTCCTTATAGTACTGTGCATGCACAAAATGAAAAGAAGTATTTCTCTTTAAATTCTGTATCTTATCCATTTTGATAACACTGGGGACTTTCATTAGGAGGATGGCAGATATGAAGGCCCAACTTTGGCTCAAGCTGTTGAGTTGTTCGGAGGGAGACGCTGGAGCTCAAGAAACACAAATTCAGGAAACCTGACCAAAGGCATAGAGAAAGCAAGTGTGCAAAGAAACAATACTCTGGGGATAAGCACAGCCAAGAAAAAGAAGAAAGTGCTCATGAGGGTAAGGTTTTCACTTACTTAATGGCATTGCATTGCTGATTTAAGCTTTTTTTCTTCTACATTTCCTGCATAGTTAACTTCAGCAGCAGAGATAAAGATGCATTATAAACAGAAATTGTGCACTGTTGCTTGTTTGCATCCATTTATTTAGAAGAAGTATAGTTTTTTGTATACACACAATAGTATGAAAGGCAGAAATAGAGTATTCTGGGTGGTATTTTTGACTTATGAATTAGACCTTTGTAGTATGGAAACTGAAGGCAAGGAAAGGGTCATGCATCTGAGGCCACATACAGTATTTTTGCCCAGCCTGGAAATGTTACTTCTCCTTGCCAAGCAAATGAACGAAATGGGAAAGCAGATCAGCTAAAGTCAGGTTACTGGACCTACTAATGAACATTCACTGCTGGAGCTGCTGGGAAAAAAGTGATTAAAAAATCATGGAAGACAGACTCCCCTCTTCTTCCCTCCCATAAGCTCAAACGTGCATCTTTAATAGACTCGTCAACGGGGTATTTTCCAAAGGTTACATTTACTGTTCAAAAAAATCAGTCTTTAAAAAAAAAATCAACCCAATGGGAAACTTTTAAAAGGCTACAGAACATTGCAAGTTAAATGTGTGAAACAACTGAGAAGGTTTTGACCTGTTAAATTGATGCCAGTTGGTGTAAGCCAGGTATGTCCAACAGGAGATTGCGGAGGGGTCAGAGGTAGATCACCAGCCCCACTTGATCTCCTGGTTTGCTGGACAGGTGTTTGGGTTTTTTTGATGATTGTTTAGTGGTATTTGATTATTGGTGCCAGTATGATGAATTCTTATTTTTACTTTTAGAACTGCATGTGTGGTTTTGGCATCATCCAGAGGTCTTCAGTTCCTGTTGATCTTTTACACAAATAACTCTGAATAAAAGTTAAAGAAAGTTATTGAGACAGTTAAAGTTATAACTCAATAAAAAATAAAAACTGTTCGCAGTTCTTCCTGGATCTTCATCTCTCTGTTTTGTTTTTGCTTATTTTGCTTACCAGTAAATGACAGAAGGTGCATTATAAATGGGGGGTGGGTGGAACCCAACTTTAGTGGGTTAAAATCTAATTTGAAACTAATTTGTAACTTTATTTTCATGGTGGTAGATCACCTGAACTTTTGGCTGGAAAAAAATAGATCACTACCTGTTCGAAGTTGGACATGCCTGGACTCTAAGCTATTGTGTAAGAGAGTTGACAATTCAAACACTTGAGCAGTTAGTTGAGTAAGCGTTTCAAATACAAAATCTCCTTTCCCCCCTCCCTGTAATGATGACCAAGGACTGGAATCTGTATCCAGAATAGCACACACTCAAAGATTTCCTTATTCAAATGGTCAAAAACTTTTCAATTGCTTTAAGAAAACAAAACAAAGCAAACCAAAAGATGAAACTGGCCATCTTCTGTGTACTCCAAAATGAAAACAGATTAATAATTTACTTCCACATGCCATTTACCGCATTCTTACCTCAGAGAAATATTTTTTTCCGAATAAGTGTTTCTGAAATCATTTTTATAACTTTGAAAATAGATGGCAGTTGATACCTAAGCCTAGCATTGCATGAAAGCCAGGTTACAAAACTTTTTGCTAAATAGACTTTTTCTTATTGTGCAATGTGTTTTTAAGGGTGAAAGTGGAGATGCCACGGATGATGAGATGGCAATTCGAAAAGCCAGACCACACAAAGAAAATCGGAGCAGAAGTGGCTCAGACCCTCAGGATATTGATGAACAAGAAGAAACAGGTAATCATCATTGGTTTTTTCAAAGGATCCAATACATCTGTGGACTGTGTGCAAGTACTGGCTCCCCCCCCCCACTCACCTTTACTGCTGTTCCCAACATTTAGGAATAGGCCATTGAACAACATGTAGTGCTATGGTGTAAGAGGGCCTTGAAGGCACTGCTGTGCATCCATGACTCTCTAAGTCACCTATGTGTATTCCCTACAGTAATTGGGGTAGCCTATGATTTTAAAAAAACCAAACTGTCTTAGAAAACATATAAATTGTAATTGAGGGAGCTTTTATCCCACTGCTTCTAAATGCCAGCTGCACTAGAGGATGCCCAACTTAGCTTTGAATAAAGGAGGGTCCACTTGAAATCACTTTTCTGTCTGCCCTCATCAGTTGTATATAGGGTTGCTGTGTCCAGTCCACCCGCTGGCAGGGGACTTGGGGGGGGCATCCCTGGAGGGGGTGGAGACGGCCCCAACATCATGATGTCACACAGAAGTGAGGTCATCACGTTAGGGAGGCAGCCTGAACTGCAAGTGGTAAATTCACCACTTGGAGTTCAGGTGCCAGCAGCCCCGCCCTGAGCCTGCTTCGGTGGGGAGGGGAGGGGAGGATATAAATGGAATAAATAAATAAAGAGGGCCGCTTGCAGTTCAGGTTTTAAAGTGCCCTCCAGCTGAATGGTGGGTCGTGTGCTCCAGCCGATCAGCTGGAGGGCCCATTAAATCTTGCAGGAGGGGGAGAGGGGTGGCTGCCAGTGGTCATGCTGGGGGGCGGGGCTTCCTTGTTGGCTGGCCAGCAACAAACAGGAGCTCTCAAAATCAGAGGATCCTTTTCCACCACCTGGGGACTGGCATCCCTAGTTGTATATGATATATAAGCAGTATCTACAAGGAACTGCTCTTGGTGAATGAAGTATTGGATATAGGTAAAAAATGTTTGCTGAGGATTGTAGTCTGTCACTGTTTTGGCCTTTTATAGGTTAAAAATTAGTAATGGCACACTAGAATAGCCATTGGCATACTAGTGCATCTGGAAAAGGGTTATTGGTATGTGAAATTAATAGTTTTGTCCTATTATAGTTTCTTTGCCTGGATCCAAGCCATGTGGCTGGACACAACAGTGCCCTTCTGCTTGTGGTTTGATCATACTCTGTCACAAATAAAACATGCACATTCTTTAATATTTTCAATAAAATCGAAGTTATACCTATGTTTACATTTTACTGAGTTCCAAATATGACTTGTAATGTTGTTAAGGTAGTGTGCTTTAAAAATAATATGCATGTTTTCAGAATACATTTTACAGAATATCTTCCTGTTAAATGTTCAAGGTGAACTACATAATTACAACTTTTTATATTACCAAAGTAAACTTGTTAAAAGGGAGTACTTTTTCTGACTTGGAAATGATTGATATTTTGTGTGTGTCCCCAGTTAGTTTTATCAGCAGGGCCAATTCTAAAATGATACAACTTGAGGCAGTTGCCTTGTGGCAGATTTTGCATCTATCCCATCCCCTGCTGTAGTCTGCCTGCCTTCCACCCCCCACCCCCCCCAATTTGGGAGCTGAAAGAAATTATAATCCTTACTCTCTCAGTTCCCCAGGATTTTTTTTTTAAAGTAGTGTGGTAAGCCATGTATACCAGTTCCTGAAGCCTCAAGAGACTTCCTTCTTTTCTTGTGAAAGTTCTGCCATCATTTCTGGTTGCCTGTTGCATGGGCAACTGCAATGGTGGCCTGACTGTGGCTGTGATCACACGAGCAGTTTGGCCCAACATAGCCACACTTCCCCTCCAGATCAAATGGGTGCATTCCCGCAGCCACACCCGTCAGCCGTTCCCTGGGCATACCCACCCCGTCCTGTGACGACCTGGAACTGGGTTAAAAAGGCACTACATCACAAGTAGTGTTTTTGGTTCCCTGCGCATTCATTGCGTGTGGCCAGATATCTGAATGCAGGGTAGCACACACAGAATGGATTGGTGGTCTGAACCTGCAGATCCATTCCTGCCGCTAGGGTGGGATTTTAATTTTGTTTTGCCTATATGTGCACACATGTACACATATGCACATGCATGAGCACACGTGTACATGCATGCATTTTGAAAAAATGACCGGGCAACGCGCTCTGTGGCTGAGGTGCTGCACTAATGTGGATGCTTGACCACAGGATGTCCACATGGGTAACCTGCAGCAGAGTGTGCAACACTTAAAACCAGTACAATTAGAGGCGGCACCATATCATGCCAAGCCACCAGTGTGACCACAGCCTGTCCTAACAAAATCAATCTTGTAAGAGGTCAGGAAGCCTTCCAGGGCATTTACACCCTGTCATGCTATTTGTAAAGAGAGCTGGAGCAGTGGAATGGTAAGGAAGGTTATCTCTTCCAGTTCTTGAGCAGAATTTATGAGTCTCTGCTGTTCGTTAGAACATAACAAGAAGGGGGACCCACGATATTCATGGGGGGGGAGCTCCACGTGGAGTAGGAGGAAGCAGGCACAGGTGAGCCTTCTCCCTCACCCCCAGCACCAACGTTGAGGCCCATGCAGCTCCTAGCTGCCGGGCCCGCCAAGCCTTCTCCCCCACCCCCTGGCACCAATGGCAAGGCCCGCGTGGCTCCCAGCTGCCGGGCCCGCCAAGCCTTCTCCCTCCCCCACCAAGCACTCCCCCCCAGTGGCAGCAGCAGCCTACCAAGCCTCCCCCTCCCCCCCGCGACAGCAGCCTGCCAAGCCTTCTTCCTCCCCCCTGGCAGCGTCATTGTCCCACCAAGACTTCTCCCTCCACCCCCAGTGGCAGCAGCGAGGGCAAGACAGTTGCCAGGGCGTTCTCTGCGCATGCGCAGGGAATGCTCTTTTACCTGTTGGGGGATTTAAGTATCCCCCGTATACTTTTTAAAAAACTTTTTAGATTTTTCTGCATACCTGGGGACTGCTCCAAGTGTGCAGGAAAATCTCTCTGCCCCCCAAGTGCTCCCGATGTGCGGATTTAGATATCCGCACAGAAGGGGCAACTTGGCTATAAGATATATAGATAATAAAAGTTTAGGGTATAGTAGAAACCTCTAAAAGCCCTCCCAGTAGTTCTTCCTGATGTCTTTTAGCAGAACAAATTATATTACGGTTGTCATTGAAAATGTTTATTCTGGTAATTCCCATGTTACTGATCCAGCTATTTTCCTTGGTCGTTTGTTCCACTCCTTTCTATTTTCAGTTAAGCCTTAGGGCTCTCATCCTCATTTAAAGACTGTTGCCTGAAAGGTTTTAATTAGTATGGGGAAATTACTGCATGTATCTGGGGGAAATACCTAATGAGACATTAAAATGGAAATAACACTTGCTTTTTTATTTAACAGAGAATTGGCCTGTGCTATGCCCAGCATGAGACAGGCAATTAAGGTGTTCATTGAAAACTGTTTTTTGGTACATTGTGAGCAATGTAACAAGATGGAAGATTTTTGTTGGCTTTTCCTTCAGTACATTTCTTTGCTTGACAGTGTTATATAACGTGAAAAGTTGTGAATTTTTAAATAAATGGCCCCTATAAAATACTTCTAACTAGTTTCTGTTTTGGGGGGCATCTCACTGATTGTTCATACAGAACTTTTATTTTGTTTTCCTTAGAAACAAATCTTACTGGTACCAACATTCTGTCTTCCAAAAGAACACAATCTTTGTCTACCTCATTCTCATCTAATGTAGCATCTGGGTTATCTTCACCTGTCAGGCCAGTATCTTCTCCTGTGATGACACCTTCCACAAAAAGCCAGTCTAGGTAAGGAGAAAATATGATTTTGGATTTTTAAAACTAACTGTAAGAGTAATGCTTAGCTGTATTACTGGCATGGGCAGCAACACCGAAGTGCAGTTAATCTACAGCGTGAGATTTCTTTATTGCCTTCCTCATCAGCAACCCAGATTGACTCACTGTTGGTAGCTGACCAGCGACAGGCTTAATTTCAGGGTATGCATTTGCATGTGTAAGTAAAAATTAGATTAGTCTTAAATGCCCCTGTGGAAAACTTAGGCCCAAGACCTTGGGAGTCAACGGCCATTATTATAGAGTATATTTTTAGAGAAAATTGTAGAAGGAACCAATATTTGCCAAAAGAAACATTACATTTTTTCCTTTTCAATAAATACATGCTGCAGCTGGGCCAGCCAGCTCCATGGTTCTATTCAGCATGTCTAGAACAGGATGCTGTTTTTAGTTGCAGAAAAGACAAACCTGGCAACTGAAAGTTGGGTCTGAATGTGAGAAATTCAGGTTCAAATCCACACTCAGTCAGGAAGCTTACTGGGTGGCCTTGAGCCATCTCTCCACCTAAATCCTGAGAGATAATCATTATCTAGACTGTCTTGATGGCCTATCTAGGAGAGAGTTCTCTACAGACAGATCACTGTCTCTCTGCCAAGCTTATCTCATAGATAAAAGAAAGTGTGAACTTCACTTATATCTCTTGGAGCTCTTTGTAGAAAGGGTAGAATAAAAATGTGATAAATAAAGATGTGTTTTCCTCCATTGCAGCTGAAACAGGCCACTAAAGGATCAAACAGATGAGACATAAATCAGACATCTTGGTCTATCTATAAAATGTAAATTTCAGGCTCGGGGAGGCTCATTTGTGCCTCAGGGCTATGCAGGAAGAGGGCTTCAACTTTCATTTGTTTCCTCTGTTTGAAACCAGCTCCTTGCTCTGCTGTCAGTATTTTAAATGAAAAGATATGTGTGTTCACATGAGAATCAGTGCCAACCTACATAAGACATTTTTTATTGAGTCTGGTCCGGGTTCTGGCTTTTTAATGAGTCAGGTGCACACATGGAGAACCAAAGAGGGGCAAATTACTGTTGAGCTGCTTTGGCTTGGGAAGATAGCAGGGGAGGGAGGGAGGAGCCCCTCATTCCCTTGTGCCATGATTATGAGCTGAATCAGGCCCCCACTGAGTTTTAAATGGACATTCCCTGCAGCTGCTGTGGATTCAGGCCTTGGGAACCTGGATCAGACTAAAAAAAAAGTCTTGTGTAGATTGGCCCTCAATAGAATAGTGGTTTGTACTGCTATAAATCACTGGGACACTGTTAAGTACCTGGCGAAGAAGAAGAAGAGATTGGATTTATACCCTGCCCTTCACTACCTAAAGGTGTCTCAGAGCGGCTTACAAAGTCCTTTCCCTTCCCCTCCCCACAACAGACACCCTGTGAGGTAGTTGGGGCTGAGAGAGCTCTTGACAGAAACTGCTCTATTTCAAGAACAGCTCTTATCAGAAGTACGGCTTGCCCAAGGTCATCTAGCCAGGTGCAAGTGGAGGAGTGGGGAATCAAACCCGGTTCTCCCAGATTAGAGTCCGCGCACTTAAGCACTACATGAAACTGGCAAAGGGAGCTTTGACTCTCAAAAGCTAATATGCTGGATATCTTGTTGGTCTTTAAGGTGCTACCGGACTCTAATCTTGCAGACCATCACAGCCGCACACCTGAAACTATTTTAAGCTACTTAAACAATACTGTCTGCTGGTTGTTCATCTGAAAAATGGCTCTGGTCTGCTATACTGAGGATATCTTAAATGCAGTTATGAATCTGAGAAGGGACTGTGGGACTGTGCCTTTTCTCTGGTTAAGCATTACCAATGTTAGCCATGGTTAATGCTAGCCAGAATTTCCTAACAATCTTTAAACATTGGTTTCCACTTCTGGTTGAGGAGAAAGTCTGATTAGCTTGACTTGGTTTAGTACCAATGTTATACTTAAATGGTCTAGAACAGGAAGAAAGGAGGAGTGAATTTTCTGAAAAGAGGACTGGCTAGGATGAAGGAGAACATACATTCGTGGGCCTAAATATGTGTCATTATTACTATGTTATAAGGAGCTTAGGGAATTTGTGAAGGGAATGAATTAAAAATTAACTACCCTTTATTCAGGTTACAAAAGTTGCGTCATTATGGAATCTTTTGCTAACGGTTTAGCAAAAACACTGTTTGGACTTTTTTTTACTAAAGCTGGTGGAATTATGTAAGTAAACTAACAGGAGTGTAAGTTTTCTTTGTTTAAAATAGTCTTCCTGTAAGTGTGGAAAAGTTTGGAATAGAGTTATCTACTTAACAAAACATAAAGGGACCCTTTTACAGCCCTCTTATAATCAAATGGCAATGTTTTCCTTGGTTTGAAAGTAGAAGTTGCAAAATCTGAATGCCCTCAAATTTGCTGTCCCCGTAGAAAACTGGGGAAGCTGAAGCTGAACTCTGCTTCCATGACATGTTGCATTTCTGTCTGTATGGAGCTTTCTCTTGGTGGAGTATTCAGACATGCAACTAGCACCTTGAAGGTAATGAAAAGCATTACCACTTGATTCTCTTTACATAGACAGGATTTGAAGGAGAATAAATTCAGATTCAAAATACAGTGTTAATATACAGAATCAAGCCAAGTTCAACCAGTACACATTACAGTATTTTGTATATACCTGCTATTTCCCCCCCTGATGTCAACACAGAGCAATTATATTGGCCTCCTTTTCTCTCTTAGTGCATGGAGCAGCAGCAGTTGGCATGGAAGGGTTAAAGGAGGATTGAAAGGCTTCCAAAACTTTATGGTTTCTGACAGCAGCATGACTTTTGTTGAATTTGTAGAGCTTTTCAAGTCTTTCAGGTAAAATCTATTTTATTGATTCCTAGCATGAGCTTCTAAAAGCCTTGTGTTTTTTTTGAAGGGAATTGATAATAATACATAATTTGTACATCACAGTGTCCGAAGTCGCAAGGATCTGAAAGATCTTTTTGATATGTATGCTGTACCCTGCAGTCGACTGGGTTCTGATTCTGCTCCAGTATATACCTCCCTAAAGATTGATGAGTACTCTAATGGCCTCCAGCCTGATTTAGGTGAGAGATATTATTTTATGTTTAAAGCATATAGGCTTGAGTAGCGTAATGCCAATATGGTTCGGTTCAGATATAAACAAAACCATAGTTCATTTTAACAATGGTTAGTTTGTTATGCTAGGTTTCATCTCACAGTTGCTCAAATCCTCATTCGCCTGGGCAAATGCCGGTTTCATTTCCATCTTTCTATTGCTTGGGAGAGTGTTGCCAGAGGACATGTCAAGATTAACTCAGGGTGCCTGGATGCAAATAACACATGGAATTCATTGCCACAGGAGGAGGTGGCGGCTAAAAGCATGGCTGGCTTCAAGAGGGAATTGGATAAAAATATGGAACAGAGGTCCATCAGTGGCTATTAGCCACAAGGTATAGATAGGAACTCTGAGTCTGGGGCAAGTGATGCTCTGTATTCTTGGTGCTTGCGGGGGGCAACAGTGGGAGGGCTTCTAGTGTCCTGGCCCCACTGATGGACCTTCTGATGGCACCTGGTATTTTTGGCCACTGTGTGACACAGAGTGTTGGACTGGATGGGCCTTTGGCCTGATCCAACATTGGCTTCTCTTATGTTCTTATATCATGTGAAAGACTAAACTGTGGTTAATAAACCAAGTTTGATGGACTGCAAATACCCAAAGTTAGTGGAGTGGGCTGCATTTAGGAAGTCACATCAATTTTTTGTTAGTTTAATTAAGCCAAGGTTTCACAGAAAGTCTGTACTGAGCCTCTCTCTCAAATTTATCTGTAAAACCAGAACTACAATGACTCACTCACGGAACTGCTGTTGAGCTGGGGTGGGGGTGGGGATTAAAGTTCTGAAAACTTTCCAAATTAAAAAAATCCTGCTATAATAATAATGATGATGATGATGATGATGATGATGATGATGATGATGATGATGCTTATTAACACAACAATGCACTGAAACAAATGAGGTTTAATTATATGTGACTGAGAATGGAATTGCAGTCCAAAAAACACAGTTGTCAGGAACAACTGAAATATGTTTGCATAGGAAGAGTTCTTGGAGAAATATGCTTTCAAAAACTACTTTGAATTATTTTAAGCAATAAGATATTTTAACCCCAATACTAACATTAAACATTTAGAGCCAGACACTGGCTCACATGATGTTATGACAGAACTTTTCAATACAGAGATTCACTGCAATTTACACCTTCCAGGATTTTATCTAAACCTTACCAAAAGCATCATTCACTGTGCTTAGACGCCTTTGATATTGGTTAGCCTTGCATTTTTGTAAATCATATTCATGAAATAAATACATTTTAAACTCTGAATATGCCATGTTCAGATATTTCTGACCCAGGCCATTTAGGACGTTAAAGGTTGATGGGACGTTTCAGAAGCCATTAATTCATAGGGTCACTGTAAGTCAGAACGATTCGGAAACCATTAATTCATAAGGTGACTGTAAGTCAGAACACATACATATTGCCACTTTGTAAATATTTACTTATTCTGCATTTAAAGTATTTGTGATCATTTTAGATTTACTGACAAGGAACATATCAGATTTGGGATTGTTCATTAAGAGTAGACAGCAGCTGTCAGACAACCAGCGGCAAATATCCGATGCTGTTGCTGCAGCAAGCATTGTTACTAATGGCACCGGAGTAGAGAGCACCTCTCTAGGAATATTTGGAATGGGCATCCAGCAACTCAATGACTTCCTAGTAAATTGCCAAGGAGAACACTACACATACGATGAAATCCTCAGTATTATCCAGGTTAGTAATGAAACGTATCTACTCACATTGCTTGACCATTTTTTTCAGGCACTTCCCGTATCGCTAGAATTTTCCAAAGTTGTGGTCTGACCCAGGATTTTGCAGAGGTGCAGCAACATGTGCTCTTACTGTACAAGGAAAGGTACCAGATTCAGATGTAGGACTGCAGCATCACTGACTCTGTCAGTGCTGTTGAATTAGTGTGAAACCAATGAGAAAGAGTTAAAGACATCATCAGTCTTTAATATGCAGGATGCAAGCTGAGCGTCCCAGTGGCACTGGCCGAGTCTCAGTCTTCCCACATGTGAACCAAGCTCATACCTTGAACGCATTCGGCACTCCCCTTGGTTTTTGTGTTGCAGAAGATCAGTCGCAGTGTACCAATGCCACTGACAGGATTTTAAAGAACTCCAAGAAATCTACTGTAACTATTGTTCGCCTCCCTCTTCCACAGCCCCAAGAAATCTACTGTAACTATTGTTCGCCTCCCTCCACACCAACAGGATGCCTAGCATGAAGTGTCTTGTGTGTGTGAGAGACAGAGACATGATTTCTCTGCATTTCCAGAGGGCTTGGAAGAGTGGGGTAGCTCTCTTACTTTGTGACAAATGGTCGACACATCTTCACATTTTTTGCACATTGCAAAAGACTTACAGGTCTATCACTCCCCGTTGGATGTTAGAGAAGTTTGAAATCAGCATGGTGTGACCATGTTGTGTCATGGGTCAAAGGTGCTGGAAGGAGCATGAGAGCCTGTTGGTGCTCCTGACCTTCACTGAAGTCCAGCAGGGATTGTTCCTCCCTAGTTCTTTCCGTATGGAGAGGGGAAAGGCACAGAACGCGACCTTCCCCCTCTTTAAGCAACACAGAGAGAACTTGGGTATGCTGAGTGTTTGATGCTACATTTTTTTAAAAAGCTTGCCTCTTTTTCTAGTCATCTGCTGCATTCAGAGAACTTGGGTAACAGGCAGATCTTGTGCTCGGCCTGGAATGTCAGAGATAGCACAACTTTCTTACAACTTTCTTCCCTGCCCCTATTGGACATCAACCACAAAGCGAGAATTCCAACAACATAACTATATGCTGATGTAGTTATGTTGGCACAATACCTCCTTAGGTCAGCTTGATATTCCTTTAGGTTTAAAGTCCTTGAGCTCACTTCAGTCATTTTATAATTTCATCTTTCATAGCACTTATTTTACATAGCCGAAACGCGTCTCAGTAGATTCAAGTAACTTCTCAGGGTTGAGTAAGATGTGCTAGCAGCAGACATGCTTCTCCTAACGCTGGTTGTGCAGGACATCTGTAAAGTGGGGTGGGCAAGCAATTCCCAACGAAGACAAGGAGGGACATTCTGAATTCTCCTAGTTGCTGCTTTTTCCGTAAATGGGTTTCAAGACCAAAAATGGCTATGGAAAAATGGTCGGGGAGGGGAGAGTTGTGTCTGAGGGTAGCAAAGGTTCTTCCTCCTTGTAGCCAACTTCACCCTGCTTCATCAGTGCTTCTCTAACAGTCCTTCAGAATAATATGCCATACAACATGGGAGGTGGTAGTGGGCATCAGGGAGGGAATATTGGCTCATTCCCCCCCCCTCTTTCCTAGTTTTGGCAGGAGCAGAGCTTTGGAAAGAACGGGGGTCGTTGAGAGCCATTTTCTGCCCTCTTGCTGCAGGAGCTCCCCTGAAACCTAGAAACAGGGATTGCTGAGGGGAAAAGAAAGCATTAAAATCTCTTCTACAAACTAGTTCCATTTACAAAAACTTTGGTTCTAACCAAATTATATTGTAACCCCCTCAGAACCCCCCCCCAAAAGAAACCCCATACTTAAATTGTTCGTTTTAAATTAAGCTGTTGACATTTTCTTATTACCTATTGCAGAAGTTTGAACCGAGTATCAATATGTACCAGCAAGGATTAATGTCGTTTGAAGGATTTGCACGGTAATTACCTGTGGATCACCTTGATTAATGATTTCATTTGCTTTGCATGTCTTTTATGAGGCACTTACTTTAAATTTCTGTACCTCTAGATTTTTGATGGATAAAGATAACTTTGCATCTCTGAACAATGAGTCTCAAGAAAATTTAGAAGACATGGTATATCCCCTATCGTATTATTTCATTGAGTCTTCACATAATACTTACCTCACAGGACATCAGCTTAAAGGAGAATCCTCAGTAGAGCTTTACAGCCAGGTATACCAAAACAATCTGCTGCCTCCTTCCTCTCTAAGGGTTTGTTTGTTTCTCTGGAACGTCACAGAAGCATGACCTTTTCTGCTTTCTAAACCTTAAATGTTCCAAGTACTTGCTTGTAAAACATAGAAAAACATAATGTGTGGGAAAACTGCTTGTGTGCACAGTTGTGCTCAGATGCTTTTTTTAAAAAATATATATATATTTTAGCTTTGTTCTAAGTCAAGAAAAATGGGTTTCGTTTGAGAGCTGTAGCATTTAGACACTAGCTAATCTGACCTAACCTGCTAAATTTAGACTTTCCCACAGGAAAGACTGAGCTAATATATTAGTTCATTTAATGTCAAAGCACCATTCAAAATAATGGGAGTTGTGCTGAAAAGATGAGCTTGTAGTTACTTATGAGAGTGTTCTTTCTAGGAATATTATGTAATATTTCTGACATTCTTTCCAAGCAGTGTGACACACACAAAAACAAGAATTGTTCTCCAGTGGTCTTGGAGTTATGTTTTATGTATGTCGGAGAGAGATTAAGTTTCAAAGAATCTACAGAAGCATCACACTTCCTGTGAGTGGGAATTTAAATCTCACCTCATTGACTGTGAGAAATTAGATTCTCACCTAAATAAGCCCATTTCATATATTATGCAGGGAGGGTCACACCACAGTGGAACATGCTGTCAACAAGGAGCTGCAACTAACCACAGTTCCCTGACATAGGTACCTGTATAAAATACTCGTCTTGCTTGTAATTACATATCTACTTGCACATATATAACATATTCATGTACACTTATCGGTTGATTTACAAAATTTATGTTCCACGTTCCTGCTCAAACAGGGCCATCAAATGAGTGAAATGTCACCCGTATAGCATGGTGCTCACAAACTGTCTTATGTGTCATATCTGTGTGGTGCTCACATTTGCATGTGTAACTGTATGGAGAGGGCAGGAAAACGTTGCAGTCATGGGAATAGCGAGAATAGTTGCAGAGGCAAACTGTGCAGCATAAAACAAAATAAAGCATAAAAAACCTGTGCAGCATAAAACAAAATAGAGAAACAACACAAAAAACAGTGCAGAATCCATCCTAAGCAGTTGCAGAATCTATATGCAGAAGGGTTGGGATAATGCTCAGTAGAGTCCCCTGTTGCCCTCTCCTCCTTCTCAGCAAATATGTACTACAGCACCTGGGCCCTTTGTAGGAATGGGAGGTCTGTACACAGCTTCCTGTCTTCAGTCAATCCTCCTCCTTGCCCAAGTGTAAGTTGCTCAATAATGGACTAGATATACCAGGAGGAGGAGGAGGAGGAGGAGGAGGAGGAAGCAAGCCTATGCTTGAGAAAGTTTGGAAAAAAGGCTGTTGTGTTCATAACAGCTGTGGACCTGTAGCTGAAACATTTATGCTGCTTATAAGAATATCTAAAACAATGTATCCCTGTGTGGAGCAATTCCCTATAGGCAGTCAGTGCAGAAAATTATAGGGCTGAAATTATGACACACAATACAAAATTTGTCTGCTTCTTAAGAATTTTGACAGTTATCAATAATAATTGAAATAAGCACGTAATGAGTAGAGAGGCTGAGCTGTCTACATGGTAGTAGTAACAGAAAGACATTTATTGCCAAGAGATCATAGGAAACTTGTTAGTGTTCTGTGAAATTTAGTCAAATGGCTAGTGTGTTCATCTAGGATTGTGGATTTTTAAATGTATTGTTTCCTTTTGTGGGTCACTGGCAGCATGCAGACTTCAACATTTAGCTCTGCAGCCCTGGAACATGATAACTGTCTAGTTATATAAGAAATACATTATGATGACCATCTTTACTTCAGGTTCTCTTACAAGGGTGTCGGAGTGTGGAACTAGACTGCTGGGATGGTGATGATGGAATGCCTGTAATTTACCACGGTCATACACTGACCAGTAAGATTCCTTTTAAGGTAAATGTTGTAATTCCTTTTGGAGCAGTAATCATTTTTCGAGGAAAATATAAGATCCTGAAAAACATGGTCATAGAGTGAGACCACCCCTCCTCCCCACCCACTCATGAATTGGGGGGGGGGCAGGGTGTGAGCAAAACCACAGTGTATCTGGTGTTCCTGCTGTTCTGCCATCCCAAAACGTCCACACTTGTTTATCGCATTCAGCAGAGGATATATGCGTACAATCCATCATGCAAATATTCAGTTCATAAAGTTCATTGTATTTGGGAAATTTTAAACCCAGGGTACATGACAGAATCAGAAAAATCAGCTGACTTTGCAATTAGGTTATGTTCCCCCCCCCCCAGGCAATGTTACATATTGAAAATTTTAAAAACAACCAACTTCCCCCCCAACCCCCCCCCAAAAAAACAAACAAACTACCCCATGTGGTTTTTTCAGAAAATGCTGGTCCAGGGAAGCTACATTAAATGCTTGGGAGAGATATAGCCCCCTTATTCTTTTCATAGAAAGGTGACCAGATGACAGTCCACAGAAATGTTATGAGGTAGTAAATATACAAACAGCAGGAGAGGAATCTAATCCAAAGAAACATCCAGTGTCATGTGAAAGAATGTATCTAGGCTTTGCACACTTGAAATAGGCTTTAGGAATCATGAAACATGTTGACCTTCTGCTACCAAAACCAGATTTCTTGGGTGGAACATTTGACTATGCCAAGATACATTGAAATTTGGCTTGGGGTAGTAAATACACCTTAAATAAAGTTGCATAGGGTTTTTGTTTTTTTAAAGAGTTACATTAAGTGAGCCAGTATGGGCTGCTTCCACAGCAAGAGTTTCCCATGTTTCAGTCACCTGACTAGTGCAGGTTTTTTCATGATTCCATATCATGTTGTCCTCTATTTGTGCATGGACTGTTCTTTCTACACACACACACACACACACACACACACACACATTCCTACCTTATTTTAAACCTATTAAAAAGGGGATATTTCCTGGGCAGAATGGTATTGGCAGGAGCAGTTCCTTGAGTCTGAAAGGGAAACGGGGCAGTCGCAAGACTTTGGTGAACTGCTAATCAGTTACTCTTTTCACTTGTTGATTCAGAAACTATCATGAATGGGACAGATGACCATGGAAGAAATATATAATTATGGCTACTTTTGCTTTGTTTTTTACAGGAAGTAGTTGAAGCTATTGATCGTAATGCCTTTATTACCTCTGACATGCCAATCATCATATCTATCGAGAACCACTGTTCCTTGCCCCAGCAACGAAAAATGGCTGACATTTTCAAGGCAAGTAACGAGGGGCACTGATACCATTCAACAACCATGGCTCTGAATTTGAATCCTGTGTTTCATAATACCGTACATCTCATTGATATTTCAGAATACATTTGGAGATAAGCTGGTAACTCGATTTTTATTTGAGAGTGACTTTTCTGATGATCCAATGTTACCATCTCCCCTTCAACTGAAAAGAAAGATCCTGCTTAAAAACAAAAAGCTCAAAGCACATCAAACACCAGTGGATATACTTAAACAAAAGGTAAGATCTTTCCATTTCAAAATATTTGAGGGTCAAGATGTTTTCTGTCAAGGCAGCAAAGCAAATAACGTTTTATGATACCAGGGTGGCTAAATATGCACTGGCTGAGAGACACATTGCAGTGTATAAACCATAAAGCAACATAATAGCACAGACTGGGATTCTGGGTTGATGTATTCATGCTTAGGCGTGCTTTGAAGGGAACACACCAGGTAGACAAACCTTGCTTGAACTCCCTTTCTTCCATGTGATCAGGCTCCTGATCAGATTGCCTTGATGGTCCCTGTTGAAGTTCCACACCACGTAGTGTTGCATCTTTGCAGTAGCTGCTGGTGGCTTCTTTGGCCACATCCTAGAACTAAATAATCTTAATTATCAGAGAAGAGGCACATAGTCTCAGGGTCATGGTCAGGTCATTAAAGTGGCTGACTTGTATAAAGCTGAACCATGGAATTCCTTGCTGTTCATTCTCTTTTTGCACCTGCAAGGATATATACATCATTTAAATGTGTGACATTAACTAGGATGTATTGCCTGCAGTCTCTGTCACCTACTCTTGACTTCTGCAGCTGAGACTAGAGGCCAGGGTGGGAGGTTTTCTGTATTAATAGGAGGAGGGAATAGCTGGCTGGGCTCTGCAGCATAGAGTGCAGAAAAATGCGCCTCCCAGGTTTGTGCAGATATCTCACAGGAAGATTTTGGGCCATCTGATTGGAATCCAAAATAGTGAGACATCTTTAGATTTGGCGGCCTGGGTAAGTTGGAGCCAGGCTGCTGTTAGTGCTTCTCTCTTTTTCTTTTTAGTTAGTTTCTTGTATTGTTGTCTTAATAAGTCTAGTCAGAAGGAATTTACACATGCTCTGTGACATATATTGAGTAAACTTCGCTAGTATTTTTTGCTGACAAATATTCTCGATCGAACCATGGTTGTGTGGGGTATCTTACTCCTGGGGGCTCTAGGGTGGGTTTGCTTTTACAGAACAGTTCTTGCCATCCGTTAGATATTGGTAGATAACACTCTAAGATGGTTTCAGAGTGCATGCCATTGATCATTTTGCTGCAATGCTGGCAGATCCTGTCAGAACTGAGAAAATCCTTGGTTTGCTTATCTACATTTTTGGACCATTTGATTCTTTTATAACCAGAACCATGAGTCAACTCTGCATCAAACTTCTCAGTTCGGTGAACCGTTAGATTTTGAATCTTTAATGCTGAGGTGATTGGCAAGTGGTCACTGTCTTGGCGGGCCCCAACTCTTAAATAACATTCAAAATCTAGCAGTTTGTGCGAATCTAGGACAAAATCAGTGGTACTAGCTCCTTGGCTTGACCAGGATGTGTAGTCACCAGGAATATCACCCTTGACTGTGCCATTCAAAATGAACAGATCTAATTTGCTTGCTAATTGTGCTAAGCTCAATCCTTTCCAGTTTGATTTAGCATCATTGGGTTGCCGGGCGGGGGGGGCGGGGGGGGGGTTGTAAGGGAAATGCTGGGCTCATACAACATTTAATCAGAGGGACGGGCTTTGGCACTAGAATTGCCAGCTTCTAAGAAAAGAGCATCAGGTTCAGGAGACTAGTTACGTACTTTTAAAGATTACTCCAGATTTACTGTAGCCTAAGCGTGTTGTTATTATTATTTTTGCCATCAAGTTAAGCTGACTCCTGGTGACCCCTAGTGGGGCTTGAGGGCAAAAGGACCTTCAGAGGTGGCTTGCCATTGCCTGCCTCTGTGCCATGACCCTGGTACTCCTTGGAGGTCTCCCATACAAATACGAGCCAGAGCCGGCCCTGCTTAGCTTCTGAAGTCTGATGAGATCGGGCTTGCCTGGGCTATCCAGGTCAGGGCTCTAAGCTTATTATCTTGAGGGGCTATGTATACATTGATAACTAAAAGGCAAAATCTATTTAATTGTACAGGTATGGCCTGTCCGTGTTTGGCATTTGGCCCTAATTTTACTACTGTGGCCTGAAGTTTCATAGAGACTAGAATAGCCAGGCGTCCCCCTGGGTCTGCCTTTCTCTCCACAGCGGAGGCATGTAATTCACATGTGGAGAATCCATCTGCTGTCATAGGCACTTGAGACCAGGTCTCTTGGAGAATAGCAATATCAAACAAGGATAGGTATTCCAGAAAGGAAGAATCAGTTCTCTTGGAGGGTCAGCCAGCAGTGTTCCAAGAGAGGGTTTGGATGTTACCATAAAGCTGCAGTTGTCAATATAAGTGGCTCGTAGGGTTTTCCTCCTTTGGTGAGGAATCCAGAACAACTTCAGCCACATCATGTAGTAAGTCCTTCATTGGGAGGAGGACAAGGGAGAGTTGTGTTAGATGCCTTAAATGGTTCCAGTGACGTCTTTTGTAATCTAGGTAGGATGGGTATCACCTACTCAAGAAATGATCACCAGAAATAATTACTGGATTTGTGGACTGCCTGAAGGCACTCTGAGACAACTGAATAGCTGGTCTCAACTCAAAATCTCAAAGGCTCCCCCACCCCTTTTCACTCAGTCTTAAATTATATGTGGAGGCGGGGGGGTGCTGCTGCTGCTAGAAAGCAGCCTGTTGTGTGAGAAAGCAGTGTACACATCTGAGTTAATATGGATGCATCATAATCACTTATTGGAACTCACAACTGGAAAGCAGGATGTGAGCCAAACTGGCACGTGTTTGAAATTAACTAGTAATAAAGGGATGGATCTTATAAACCACAAGTGTTGTCTTGGAGAAACAGATCTCCCCACATGCCAGAAACCTACTGTGACCCCCGCCCCCACCCCAAAGGGCATTATGGTAACATACAGGCCAGTAAGTACAATGTCCCAATTTCCCATCCTTACTGCAGCCTCCCTGTGCTGTATGGCTTTTTGTCCACAAGGGTCCTGGGTCACGCAACTCCCTACAATTTCATTTCAGGGGTCACAGAAGTTTCTGGGAAAGGGGGAAGGTGGGGAAGATCCACATCTGCAAGAAGGAAATACGTGGTAATTAAATGGAGATCAATGCCAGTTTTGCTATCTATTATATGGTTTGTGGGCTGCCCTCTTCACTTCCTAATATCTGTATATGTGGGTTGCTCTAGATTAGAAGAAGATGATATGTATTAGGGGAAAAGTTGATTTATCTCAAACAACACATTTTGGATTTTTTTTTCTTGATCTGGTTTTCTGAGTTCTCATGCTTACTTGGTCTGACAAATCCTTCTATAAATGAAGAGCACCTGCAGAGCTCCTCTCCACTGTGAACATAATAGGGTTCTGAATCTGGCAACCCTAGAACATAATATAATGTGTAATATAAGTGCCCAGCACTGAAACTGGTACATGTGGAGCCCTGGTTCATACAATCTTTTTTTCTTCAGCCATGTTTTTTCGGGGGGGAGGGAGAGACAAGTTGGGCTTCCAGTTGAAGACGCTCGTGACAGTATACAGACATCCATATCTCGTGTACAGAAAAAATTAGTCTGTCTTAGGTCATAAAACTGTGTGAATTGGCTTCCTTCATTTCATTAGAGGTAGCTGATCAGAACACACGCACACAAAAATAGTAGGTGCAGATCAATTTTTTAAATGTATTTATCTCAGAATTGGAAGGGACAACCAGAGTCCAACCCGCTGCCAGCACAGGAACTACAACTATAATATCCCAAGTAGGTATCTAATTGATACTTAAGAAAGATCAGCTCTCCCCAATGAAATGAAGTCATTCTAAGTGGTGGAACTCTGTGCACAGGGGAAAGAACAATTCAGTGAAAAAGAAAGAGAATGAGTTAGAGCACCACTCTTGGAAACCAGACAAACTTTCTTCTAGTAGGAAACATCTATATTTTGTGGAGGAGGTGCCAGCTCACTAGTGGAGCCCATGTTTTGCATGCAGGAGGTCTCAGGTTCAATCTTTAATTGCTATTTCCACTATGCCTTAGGTCTCTAATGTGCTCTTGTCCAGAGAAAACAAACCTGAAGTGCTACACCTGGGAATTCTCTCTGTTTCGAGATGTAGGGAGTATGTAACACTCCACCCATACATGCTTGTCACATCCAGTATGGTTTGCTAAATTAGGGTGATTGTTCTTCATATTAAGTCTATCTATTCTCCCCCTTAAAGAGAGTCTGTCAAGTACATATCTAGTGTAGTTATACCAGTGATAAAATATAAATAGCCTTTGTGGTTTTTCTAAGATAGTATGTCACTGTACCTGCTTTTGAAATTTGTTTCAATGCTGTAGGCTCACCAACTGGCATACATGCAAGCTCTGGCAAGCAATGGTGGGAATGCAGGAAATCTGTCCACAACCAATGAAGAGGAGGAGGATGAAGAAGATGAATATGACTATGACTATGAGTCTCTGTCTGATGGTAAATGGATACTCTTATCATGTTGCACTTCTGATATTAATGGCTCTGGCACACTTTCCATCATAGCTTGAGCAAAGGAAACACTTTTATTTCTACCTTACACTGTACAATTAATTTTAATTTGATTAATTTCAAGTACTTTTTAATATACATTCTGAATACTTTATTGTTAATAATATATTACTGGTTGTTTTATTGGATTTTATTGGATTTTATGTATAGGCTTATGCCCCTGTAAGCCGCCCTGAGCCCGCTTGCGGGGAGGGAGGGGTAAAAATACCTAAATAAATAAATAATAAATAAATACTATTTAAAATACTGTTTATGTAAATGAATGGAAAAGGAAATATACTGTGAGAAGGTATTTGACTGTGTGTTCTGACATCTCAAGAATTTAGGCTGCAGTCACACACACTAAATAATCCACTTTCAATCCACTTTCAGTGCACTTTCCAACTGGATTGTATTTGTGTGAGCTGGCCAAATCCAGTTGGAAAGTGGATTGAAAATGGATTATTTCGTGTGTGTGACCGCAGCCTTAGTGTGTTCCTTGTGTATAAGTTCCGTATGACTAATTTCCCCAGTTTTTCTTTATACAGTTGCAGGCATTCCAATAAATAACAGTAAAGGACTTGACAGGGCCACTTAAAAATTATATTTGTTTTAATTTTTTTATTTAACTTCATTTATACCCTGCCTTTCTCCCCAGTGGAGACCCGAAACAGCCTACATAATTTTTGTCTCCTCCATTTTGTCTTCATAACAACACTGTGAGATAGGTTAGGCTGAGACTGTGTGACTGGGCCAAGGTCACCCCCCAGACTTCAATGGCAGCCTGGGCATTGGAACCTGGGTCCCCCAGACCCTTGTCCAAAACTTTAACCACTACACCATGCTGACTTGGTAGTACTTAAAAAAAATCAAGAAAACCTATGATTAGGAAAGATATCACTTTCTGATCTCCATTACTGTGGGGGAAGGGGTTGCCATTAAGTCACAACCGACTTATGGCGACCCTGTAGGGTTTCCAAGGCAAGAGACGTTTAGAGGTAGTTTGCCATGGCCTGCCTCTGTGTAGCGACCCTGGATTGCCTTTGTGGTCTCCCATCCAAATACTGATGAGGGCCAATCCTTCTTAGCTTCCTAGTTCTAACGAGATCTGGTGAGCCTGGGCTATCCAGGTTGGGACATTACTGTGTATTACCCTCCACACACACACACTGAAGTAAGCATTAGAATTTTTTCAGCTGGTTTCCTATGCCTGCTGCTTCTGATTTTAGGTTATGTTCCAGTAACACAAAGCAGCTTCTGTCCTTCCAAAGGACTCAGCTACGCGGAAGGTTAATTAGTGGCATAGTTGAAACATTCTGTCCAGGAAGCAGTGTTTTATGTTGTGCAGGAAAGCAGGGCACATTTTGTACCTAATAGATCTATCTGATTAGATAGGATATGAATCAAGACTCACGGTGCAAAACAAAGAGGAGTAATGATTTAATGTTTTACTTTACCTTCTTGCTTCACAATAAGTTTTCACTAAATTGGGGACTTCCTGAGCTAGTTTTATACTATGTGCATTAAGTCTATGCTTATAAATATGGTAAAATTCTTTGCCAGATCTAGGGCAAACCTCACCCCCTGCCTGATTGCATCTTTCTGTGAATTAGCGTAATATTCATGCTGTGAAATTAACTCTGTTCTGGCTAATCTGGGGCCAGTTGTGTAAAATGATACCATCTGACTCATCTTTACGCTCTTACTTCCTAATAATTATCACTTCCAGTTATTTCCCTATGGCAATTGAACATTATTTATGTCAAGGTCATAGTTCTACATAGCCTCAGTGTAATATTCATTTCTCTAGCTTTATTTCTGAATTTCCTTTACTCTTACTCCCTTTCTGACTCTGTTTTCCTGTAGCTGATGTCCTTAATGCTTCTCCTGCTCCTAACAGCCTGGAAGGTAAAAGGTCAAGCATTTTAACTGCATGAATTTCACCACTGCATTTTCAGACAACTTAAAATGCATACTTTGAATTTCACATACCAGTAAATCACAGTGTTGAATTTCTGTCATTCTTCATTAACTTGCTGTTCAGGGATCACAAATATCAGCATGTGCCTCACTGCTTTCTTACTTAGGCTGCAGTTAAATAGTTTATTGGGTCACTTAATATTTATTCTGTTGGCTGATTTAAGAATGTACTAAGTGATTTCCTCTTTTGATTATAAGTTTGGGAGAAATAAGTAATAGCTTTTGCTGCCTGAATATAATGTAACTGATAGATTTCCACCATTTTAACATAAAGTATTATTTTACAAATATTAAAGCGGAAAGTCAATAATGCTTTGCTTTTGGCTATAAGGAAATGTGCAGGCATTTTAATCTCGTTAAATAGGCATGAAGTAATTTTATAGCATTAATTATCTGCTAAGCCCAAAGAGTTAAGGGTAGAAGCTGGTTCACACTGAAAGTAATACTACCACTGAAGTTCTGCCTAGTATATATCTTCTGATTAATCAGAAGAATGCCAAATGCTTTACCAGAGTATCATAAATGGCACTTTGAAAGAAAAGTGTTCTTTATAATTCTTCAGCTGGACAATGATTGCTTTCCAGATAACATTCTGGAAGACCGACCTGAGAACAAATTAGCCATCGATAAGCTTCAGTTTGAATACAGTGAAGAAACTGCCAAGAGAATAAAGAAGACGGACAGTAATACGCTGAGCAATAAAGGAAAGGTAGTATTTACTCATTCCCTTTACTTCAAGCTGGGGGTGTCTTGACCAATCAAAGTGGAATTGTTAAGAGACTTGTGGCATTTTAAAGACTAGCTCATATACAATAGGTTGAACTTTTTATAAGCAAAAGCCTATTTTGCAAATGCATTATGAGGTCAGTGAAAATGTTTGTTGATATATGTATATGTGTGCATATATTTAAATAGGGTATAAATGTACAGCTGAGATGTAAATCCTATGGAGGACAAAGGGAGCTGTGCTGCATAAATGGCGATTTTCCCAACTCCCTCTTCAGCCTTCTGTATCCCCCAGAATTATGCTGTTGCGAGTCAGTGAGCCCCCAGGAACATCATGGGGCTCCTCAGTGAAAAGGGAAAATTGGCAAAATATATCCCCCCATGTACTCTCCCCCCCCCTTCTATGAGTGGAAATGGCTATTATGAACAGCAAGAGTCCAGGATCCAAACCATACGTTCTGATGGATTCTCTGGTTTGGTACAGCCAGGAATCTTTACTGTTAGATCGCGCTAACAAAGGATCGGAGAATGATTTCAGCTCAGTGATTCAGCTTTATTTGAAGCAGCAAGCAAACACTCAAACGCATTCCAAAACCAGAACAAGAAAACAGTGGGAGCTATGCTCCTTTTAAACATTACCGGGCTAATATAGCCACGGCTATTTACATTTAACAACCAATAAGATTGATGAGTTAAAGACCAATGGGAGTCTTTCCCTCCCAGGGAATAGTACCGTTCTGATTGGTCGCTGTTACAAAGCGACCAATAGGAAGTTCGTTCAGAGGAGCCCTAGCTTGGCTCGAAGCTTAACATGGGAGTCTAATGAGGTGATTCATGTAATTGTTCCAATACATTACATTTACCTTAAGTAGTAGAGTGCTTAAAGCTAACCACACAGTGAAGCGTTGGTGTTGAGTGTGCCAGCAAAGTTACAAAGTTACACAGAACCCTTTGTCAATTTCAAACTAATAAGAAATGTTTATTAAAGGAACTACAGTCTAGATAGTGCAGGTGAGACAGTTATAGATTACCAGATGCTGCTGGATGCAAACAGAATTAAAACGGATTCTACATGCCACTTAATATAGAGCTATAAGCAGGGGACCTGCAAGGATTTGCAAAGGGCATCTTATTTCCCACCTACCCCACTATTTTATCTTTACCTTCTCTGAAAGACTCCGTAGCCTTTCTTCTTTTCTTGTTTTCACTCTCTCCTTCCCACTCACCAGCCAACTGCCTTTATCTGCCCTCCTGTCTTCAGCTTTCCTCCCCCCTGGCAGCCTCTGCTGGGTTACGTCTGGCCAAGTTGCACAGTGCCAGTTGAGGCCAGCCCAGTTGTATGGCGAGAAACCTGCAAGGACTTGCAGGGGGCACCTCACTTTCCCCTGTATCCCCTCCCCACACTATCCTCCTAGCAACCCAAATATCTTCACCTTCCCCTGGCTTCATTTCCACCCACCAACCAAAATACCTTTTATCTGTCCCCGGATCTTCAGCTATATTGTTTACTTCATTTATGTCCCACATTTCTCCACAATGGGGACATCATTGTCCTCTCCTCCAATTTATCCTCACAACAGCTCTGTGAAATAGGATAGGGTGATGGTTTGTGGCTGGCCTAAAGTCACTCAATGAGCTTCCACAGCAGAGTAGTGATTTGAACCTGGTCTCCCAGATCCTAGTCTGAAACTCTAACCACTACACTGGCTCTTGTGGGGCTGCTACTATGGAACACTAGCAAACAGCCAGGCCTGGGTGAGTCATGCAGGTTGTGTGGCAGCAAGTCGCTCAGTGGCTGCTGCTGGGCCTGGACCCAATGAGTCCTCCCTTAAAGGACAAAACAGGCCTGGAAAAGGCACCTCCCTGCCCTCTGCCTTTTCTTGTTAGAAATACTATTGTGGTTGCTTAGCCATGGCCACACGGACAGTATCTATTTCTTGAAGTGCCAGATGCTGTTTTTATTTTAAAAAAAATGGGGGGGGGGTGTTATCCGCCCCCCAGGTTTGTTTTGCTGTTTAGATTTTAGATTTTTCTGAAAACCTGGGCCTTTTCTAAGGTTTGTAGAAAGATCTCTCTTGTCATGCCGTGGCCCTAATCTCTGGATTTAAGTATTCACAGATGGGACTACACTGAGAATAAGATACGCTGATATTCATCATAAAAAATCTATTCCTGGAGGCAGGGTCATACTAATGTCTGTTTGGAGAAATTCCTGTTCAGTAAAGGGGGTTTCCCTACATTTCCCATTTTTTTCAGCCAAATTAATGACTATTTTTTCTCTCTTGGCTAGCCGGTTTTCTCAAGGCATTCATCAGTCAGTGATTAATTATCAGCTCTTGTTCTAGGGACAGTGTTTGTCTTAAGTACTGATTTTTTTTTTATTTATAGCAAGCCAAAGTCACTGCTCAAACCCTTTCTGATGATAATATTGTGATGATGAAGAAATAATAAAAAATAAAGTAGCTCTTGGTGTCTTAAGGGTACAATACAAAACAGACCCCTCCCACTGATCCACCCCAGAAGAAGAGCTAATAATTGACAATCGATTCATGACTGCCGGAGAGCCTGCCAGCTCTTAAGCAGGATGGTAGGCAGAGATGAAACTGTAAATGGACAGTTTCTAATCTATGAGAGAATCTGTCACCCATGAGTGTGAAGCATACACAGTAACCTTGATGAGGAGCTTGGTCAAATAGTTTTTGGAAGAGGAGACCAAACTCTTTGCTGAAAGGGACATCTAGTAAAGTAGTCATGTGCTTTGATTTTTAAAATAACTCTGAAGACAAACCTTTGGCAGAATTGTGCTGTTGGATTGAAAAACTGAAACACATGTAACTACAGGCAGGAACATCTTTCAGCTTTTCAACCCACCAATGTGAAGGGTATTTTTTAGCGGTCCTATGACTTCAAGTTGTTGTTTTAACACACGATGCTGTGTGACAGTTTTTCAAACTTTTCCTGTCACAAAATAGTGTTGGGATCCAACTAGATGTGACACAAATCTGTCCCAATCAGATTTAAAAAAGAGACGTTTCTGGCCATCTGATTAAACGGCAAAAAAGTAACGTGGGTGTGGGGTTGCCAATTCCAGGTTGGAAATGCATGGAGTCTTGGCAGTGGATCCTGGGGTGGTGAGCTTAGGGGAGGGGAGGGGCCTCACTGAGGTGTAATGCCATAGAGTCCACCCTCTACTGCAGCCATTTTTCTCCATGGGAACTGATTTCTGTAACCTGGAGATGAATTATAATTCTGGGAAGTCTTTAGTGCTCTCCTAGAGGTTGGCAACCCTACATGGCTCAGAACTGAAACACTCTCATTGTATCTGTGCTGCTGCCTAAGAATTTTTCTCTTCCTGGATTCTTACACTTAACTGTTGCTCAGTTGGAAGAAAAGTGCTTGAAAGGAAGATCTGGAAGAAAGATTAGTGGTGGGTATGGAAGGGTTCTGTTCTTATTGTCGACATGATATTTTGCTGTTAGAAATGAGAATTTTAATGCACACAGTTCTGCCACTATCATATCTAGATTGGCCATCAGTTGACTTCAAGAAAAACATCTCTTTGAAATGCTCTGAGCCTTTAATATCATTTTGAGTTAAGTTTCTGCTCCCAGCTGTTGTTTTGCATGAATCAGTCAGCTGAAATTTTCAGTCAAAGAGACATGATACATTCGTGCAAGGAGTATGAGTGGTTTAAAAATGTGTTGTTCTCCCCTCCATTTGGTGTTGCAGCCAGTATAGGTCATATTTTCTATGTGGGTGGATGCAAACTGATGACTTTTTAAAAATTAGACTTTAAATTTTTTTAGATTTGTTAAAAGTTTAGCTGCAGGCAGTGATTTTTTTTAAATATAAACTAGCAGAAAATGCAAATACATGACCCCTTAAAACTAACTTTATAAAACTTTTATGAATTTAAGAAAGGCTGCTGTTCTTTGTGAAGAAAGAACCGCAGGAAAAACATTTCATCAGTCAAGACAATAGTTCATGCCTCTTAAAGAGGCTGGGGGTGGGAACTGGCAAGTTGCTACAGCTGTCATTTCATCATCCTTCAGGGTGAACTTTTAGTCCAATCTTATGCCTAGTAAGTACCTGATTTCTGCAATTGGCCCAGTACTGTAATTCTAAATATTAGTAAAAGTTGATTGATGTTTACTTTCCATCTCATGAGGAACAATGAATCTGCGCAGTAATCTCCAGCCCCAGCTTCTGGTTAAGATTTGCTTTTATTAGGGCAGGGTGGGGAAAGGGACGAGGAGCAGACTTAAAGCAGGAAGGGAAGCCCAGAAAAGTGTTGCTTCCAGTCAGCACTTTCCTCTAAAAACCTGTCATAGGTGCAGGTTGTAGAAGACACCCTACCTGGGGTCGTGATAAGTTATCTACAAATAAACAATGCATTGTACATAATTTTCTAAAATAGTAATACTGTCAAATAAACGTTTTAACATTTGGTTGCAGAAAGGTTTTATTTAATAATAATAATAATAATAATAATAATAATAATAATAATAGTAATAATAATCTTGACTCAGCCACCTGGCCCAATTTTCCAACCCCCTTCACATAAGTTCAAAAAGTTTTGGAAAAACTATATCAAAGTAATAACAAACTATTATTAAGAAACAGATTGTGCTTTTGCAGTATTGTCCTCTGAACAAAACACACAAACTATGACACCAGCCTGCCTTATATTAGTAAAGCCCAGTTCTGAGTTATAAATTTGCCATTAGATAGGAGATACAGCTATTAGAAACAGGCTATTCATGACCTTTTCTCATATTGCTTTCCAAACCCACAGATACCCTTTTGCAAGGAGCAATATATCCTACGGTAAAAGCTGGAGGTAGTGCAATGACCCTCTCTAAGGAGTGGTACCCATTTTATCTACTCGCCGAAGCTTTCGAACCGCTGGGTGGACGGCGAGCTGGGGACAAGGCTGGTAGCTCACACCAGCACGGGGCTAGAACTGACAGCAGTACTGTTCAGCTCAGATGTTTTAACCAGAGGATAAGTCCCCTGTGCCACCGCTCCCCGCTTAAGAATGCAGAAAGGCTTTATTCTGTTTTAAATCAATCTTTTTCATGGTACTAAAACCAATTCGTGTGCACTTAGGAAGTTTCTAAAGTATGCATGGGAATTTTTGACTTAAATAATTTTGAATATTTTTTTCTTGACAATTTAAATAAGTCACTAAAAGTGGTGTGATTTATATTATTCCACTGCTACTGTTCTTCCTGTCCCAGTTATTAGGAGACATTCCTCAATTTCCTAACTAGGTTTTTCAGTTTCTCCTTGTGATCAGGGGCTCTTCCTGCACTCTACCTCAATTCATGTGCATCGATACCTATCGCCTCACTTGCCCACCATGCAGGGAGGCAGTGCTATATAATAATGTTTCTGCTTTCCATGGTTGGAGGCCCTATTCTGGGTTGTTTACTTGTAACTATACTATACTATGCTGTTTGCAGATACACATGTAATACCTGCAAAGAATTCCTGCAGAGTGTTCCAAGAGGAGGGGGGACAAGATGAGATTGCTTGGCTCTCCTCCTCCCAGAGAGTCTCAGAAAAGAACAGTCCTCACCTCTTCTTAATGGGTTCATTTTGCTTGTCGGTTTCAGTTATTTTTTTTATAAAAAATGAAAGTAATTTGGATGCAGGGCCATTTCAGACACCATATAGTTTTCCGAAGCATGTATCTACAGCTTGCAAGGCTTCTTTCATGCTGTGAGAGACTGCACTTTTAACAGCTTAGAAGTGCTGTACGAACAGGTGAAGGATTGTGAAGGGTTAATTCTTCACAGAAACAGAGAGCCTTGAGTGACAGGCTGTTCCAACAGATCTGATTGGTTAGCATGAGCTAAACAGAGAAAGACTTCTGAAATGGATGTTGAGGAGAACTGAGTCTGATTTCAGCTCTAGCTGAGAGGAGTCAAGAACTAACAGTTTTGGAATTCAGCTCTGACTGAGAGCAGTTTAACACAAGTGGAGAATTGGGGAAAAGTTGGCAAGGAAATTTGGGAAGCAGGTGAAGACTCCCATTCGGGCCAAGGAAAGGGGATAGATCTTCCAGTGAGTGGAAAATTTCCCTGCCCAGTCAAACAAGGAGTTAGCTCTGAAGACTGGAGAGATCCGTGGTCTGGTGTGGTTAGAAGCTACCTTCAGAAAGATTCAGTTAAAAACTCAAGATGAGTACCAGTGTTTCAAGAGAAAGTGTACCAGTCTTCTGGAAACCAAAAGAGTTAAAGATTACTCAAAGAAAGTGTACTGAAGTGTTTGGGGAAAACACTGGCACAAAAGCCTCACAACATAAGGATTTTAAATAACTCTGAATAGCTTAAGAAGCTCTCATTAGCCTGAAATATTTATTTATTTATTTTATTATTTGTATTTATAGCCTGCTGATCCTGCAAGCGGGCTCAGGGCGGGTAGCATCATAAAAACAGTACAATAAATATGATTAAAATTAAACAAATTAGAAAATTTAAACAATAAACATTAAAACTCAATCACACTTCTGATAGTCACTGGTTGTACAGTTCTTCAGCATATTATTTGGGTTAATCGATGGATAGGTGGATAGGTGACAACCACCTCAGGGAGGCCGTATACAGATGTCCGCTGCCTCAGCCAAAGGCCTGGCGGAACAGCTCTGTCTTACAGGCCCTGCAGAACTGAAGAAGATCCTCAGGGCCCTAATCTCGACTGGGAGCATGTTCCACCAGGCAGGGGCCAGGGCAGAGAAAGCCCTGGCCCTGGTCGAGGCAAGACGGACGTCCTTTGGGCCAGGGACAACCAGAAGATGGTTATCCATAGAGCATAATGCTCTTTGGGGCGTATATGGGAAGAGAATATAAGAACTAAAGTTTGTGCATGTGCTGATTTTACCTCAGAGTTATGGATATCGAGTTAGAAATTTTACCCCTGGTTTCACCTGACCTTTCCCCTGTATGTTGAATAAAATATTTTGTTACTTTGGAATATAAAAACTTCTCAAGTGCCATTTAAGTCATATATGTTAAAGGGGGCTCCCATTCCTTCCCTTAGGTTCCTGGGTTGAGCAAACAGCCAAAACTGTGACAGGGTGGGACAGCCAGAATTCTTCAGGAAAGATGAAAACAGACAACTAGGGGGGCTCACTCATAGAAGGGAAAGAAGAATGGAGAGGAAATCTTGCCTTTGAGGGAGGGAAGTGGACAGGGCTGTCATACATGCTTTCATATGATAAAACCCACATTTGCTGGATTTTCTGTTAGAATATTTGCAAAACACCTTAGTAGATTTGAACTCTATACCAAGAGCTCTTTAGCAAAAGCATATAAAATGTTTGACTAGTTGAACCTCTTTCAGAGGAAGATTAGGGTAGTTTTGTGAGATTTCTGGCAGAACAAGTCTGCTGTTTAACTCAGCATATTTACTATATGCTGAAAGGAGCTATCTCCCATAAATGTATTGCACTATGAAATTGACTGGGTTTGTATTGAATTGGTACATAGCAGTTAGATACAACTGGTTTATTTTAATATATTCTGAGAGAGCTTTTCTTTACTATTTGGGTCTGGCCTTTGGTCACTGCGTGAAAGCTCTGCCATATAACTCATGTTGTGCTAAGAAAAGGGAGGTAGGCCATTTGGGGAGGGGTGAGGAAATACATTGGAATCATTGACTTAAAACAGTTCTGTCCTGGGCAATAATGCTCCTGATCTCTTAGACTTCGTCTCTGGAAACTGTCAAGTTTAGGGTGGGGGTGACAATGGAGAAAAAAACCTAAGTACTAAAATTATTGTATTTGTGTGTGTAAATTCAAACCAATGTGTTATATTTGGCACAAAGTCTCCACTGATGGAAGGGTTTCCACTAGTGGAGCAGGATTTCTCCCCTCTGCCACAGCTCAAAAGCCCCCCCCCCCCATGGTACTTCTGGAGGACAAGGCACCAGCTGTGGGAAGGGGGAATTGGTGGAAATTACCCCATCTGTCATTCAAAATGGCCCAGTCATATGGCATACTTCGTATGGAAGGGGAGGAAGAGGAGCACAATGGGAAATGGAGTAGAGGAGAACAATATTAGCCACTTTGGGGGCCCTGTTGGGGGAAAATGTGGGGTATAAAATAAATAATCAACGTATGTTTGTATTAACTATGGTTAAAATCCAGTGAGGATATGCATTGCACTGAAATACTTCGAATTTATATTATAGGTTTACGACATGGAATTAGGTGAAGAATTTTATCTTTCTCAAGATAAGAAAGAAAGTAGACAAATCGCACCAGAACTGTCAGATCTTGTCATTTATTGTCAAGCTGTGAAATTTCCTGGTAAGTATATTGGTCGGATTGCTTATGTTTCTTGGTTGATTTGAAGGACTGTAAAAAAAAGAAACAGGAAGGAAGGAAGCGAAGCCCTGCTCTCCCTGGCATGGCAGCTGAGGCAAGGCTTTATTTTTTAGGCTTTTTCCATTAGAGATGCCACTGAGAATAAGGACAAGTTTCCAGTCTTAGGGATATGAAGCTGATTCCTTTCTCAAAAGCGACTTCCCATTTATTCTGTAGTCTCCCTTGCCAGAAACATTCTTTCCAATTTCTGATGTTTCCTTCCCAACTCTATCCCAGTGCTTCTGTGTGTGGGCACATGCAAGCAGACAACTAGTCCTTTCAGTAGAGGTTGGGCTGCAATCCAGCAGGGTAGCCAACGGAGTGAGGTTACATTGGGATAGGAGCACAAGTAGGAAATTGGAATGGAGTAAGAATAGACAATGTGTTAAGAACGAGCAGCTCAGCCATGGTATAAAATGGGTGTGTATTGCAGGAGGAAAATGGCCCATGGCAAAAATGAAGTGCTGGTTTTCAGGAGAGCTAATGAAAAAGATGGAGGGGGGTGTCTTCATTTTTTTTCAACTGTGATGTTTATCTTCTGGGCTGTAGTGAAACATTGCATAAGACTTGATGGGCTCCCACCACGGCAACGGGGATATCCTGGGTTAGGAAGGGGACAAGTAGGGGGAGAGCCATGCAGCTCCCTTGTCTCTCTTGCCCTGTGCTGGTTGGTTTGACTCATACCTTGTCTGCAGTATTTCCAGTTGGGCTTCCCCTTCCCCCTCCCCCAGCTATGCCTCCGCATTCTCCTTCACTTGACGTGGCTAGGCACACAATTTTTAAAAAATCACAAAAACTCAAACCAAAAGAACTAGGCCAGAATTTCAAACCACACACATCAGCATTTCAATTAACTCTACAGCCAACCTTCCCTTAAAGAAGCATCTTGCATGCCTGTAATTTCTCACTACTCTTTTGAAGAACGACATCAAATATAGTCGACGTTCATATTTCTTTGTCTTAGATGGCTTCTGTATGGAGGTTAATCCCCCATTTTGATCTCATTGCCACTCATTGCAAATATGTTCACAGCTGCAGTGGAGCCTCCACATGGCCCCATTTTCTCCCCTTGAGTATGTCATCCGCAGCACCCTGGTTCTGGCAGGCGTTTTGCTGAGCTTTTCTATTGGCACTTCGCATACCTCGGACAAGTAATTTTTCATCGGGCAAAAAGCCCACCAGTAATGGGAAAAGGCATGGTGTTAGATGTGGATGGTGAGGTATGGAAATCCACACCTTCCCCTCCACGCTTCTCCCAAACCCACTTTGGGTATACCCTCTTTTAGGAAACATCATACTAAAGAGGGTTTCAGAGAACATGGAGTGGAGCCCAGGGAAACCCAGAAAACAACTGGAGGCAATGCCATGCACAAGCCCCCAGAGGAACCTCTGTCGTTTGGGGGAGGAACACTGAGGAGAACCTCAGGGTGGAAGCTACCCTAATCTAGAGTTTCATGCAAGAGCTCTGTGTGCACATTGGAACACCTGTGCTTTCAAGAAGTGGCTGGTGTAATTGTTCTAGTCTATACTTCGTTTTGCCTGGATAAGAGGGTTGCTTTTTTTTTTTTTTTTTGCACAAGACAAAAAAAGGTATTAAATATTGAAGATTCAAAATAATGACAAAAGGTATACCCACTTGCTCACTTTTTCAGTTCATTTATTTAATATTTACGGAAATAGGCTTGTCAACTCTGAATCCATCTGGCTCTAGCAGAGGGAAGGAACGAAAGAGCAGGAAGTCCATTTTTGGCAACAATCCTGGGAGACTGAGCCCAGGGGAGCCGGCGATGCTTGCCAAAGCATCTGGAAAAGGTAAAGTCAGCATCTTCTTTTACTGGTCACATGGAATGACTCTATAATCCGACACATATACTAGACCTGCTAGTTAAAGATCAAGCACAGCTCTCTACATATGCTGTGTTCTGAGTTTTGAATAATTTTCCATTAGCTGTGCAGCCATTACAATGACTTCATTATAAATAAATGATCTACTGTAAAGTAATGAGCTGTTGGAACAGTGTTTGATTGCTAGAAATATAAATGTAATCATTTTAAAATTTACTAATTGGAAAGTTGCATTTCAAGCCAAGAAGTTTTATTTCTTATGAGATACATTTTATACATTTAAAGTCTTGTGCCTTAAAAAATAAAAAGGAAACCTGTGTCTTGGGAAGTAATATTTTGCATTCCGTTGGTGCCATTTTGTGCAGATGCCGGTGGAAATGTAAGTTGTGCAAATTTAGATACGGTTTGTGCTCTACCATTAAAAAAATGTTTTAGACTCTTATATCAAGGGAATAGTAAAGTGAAAGACTTGCTGTTTATGTATTAGAAATTTAGAAGGGTGTTTGTAGTGTAGTGTATAATTATTTTAATTGCTGTAATAAGAGCCAGGATTTATATGAAAGACCAGAGCAGATATAACACTGACTCAACCTTTTCACCATGGTAAAGCGGGTGACAGTGGGTCTTGCCTGGTCCCTCCTCTTCCTCCTCCTCTCCCGGATGATTTGCTCTTTGCTTTGTTCCCTTTCATTGTAAGTTAGACCCTTTTTGCACCATTGCTAACCAAGGTGTGCAAACTCTCTTCAAAGTCTGCTTAACAGCAGCATACTGGGCTGCATCTACACACTGTTGGATATTTTTGCTACTGGTAAGGTATAAGTAGTAATTCACAATGGGATTTTCCTGTGTGGACAGGCAGACATTGAAGCTGATTGCTACAGGGAAATTAAAGTGCAATATCCAATGATGTGTGGATGCAGCCCTGGTTAGCATTAACCATAATTAATCTGAGGTAGCTCCAGTTGGTTAAGGTTCACTGGTGGTGGTGGTTGGGAGGGATTTGCATCATAGAGGCGAGGGAGAGAGGGAGAATGCACATGCCCGAAACTCACTTCAGATGTCTCAGTCATGATTAAGAGATCTTCAGTGCAAGAGAAGTGCTGGGTGTTGCATTATAATAGACTTTATTTTCTCTTCCCTTACTGAATGGACATCTGTTGATCAACATAATGGTTCATAGTATGGAGGAGTGAAATCCATGCATTTGTTCTGAAGGACTCACACCTCAATAAAAGTCAGTTACATGCAAGGTAGTAGATGTAGCGAGAATGTCTTCGATTTATTTTAGGGTTTCCCGCTTCTGGAGAGGCAGGCCCATTTTAGCGCTAGTTTTCCTTTGAGGACAGAGGTAGCTGCTGCAATGAAGTCTTTTATGCTGCATAAATTATGTCCTAGGATTGCTGCCATGGTGATTGTGCATTTGTTTCCTCTTGATGTATCATGTTTAGGGTAGTGTTGCCAACCTCCAGGTGGTGGCTGGAGATCTCCTGGGATTACAACTGATCTTCAGGTGACAGAGACGAGTTCACCTGGAGAAAAGGGTTGCTTTGGAGAGTGGACTCCGTGGCATTACACCCCATTGAAGTCCCTCTCCTCCCCCCAAACCCCTCCCCTCCTCAGGCTCTACTGCCAAAATCTCCAGGTATTTCCTAACTTGGAGCTGGCAATACTACTTTAGGGTGAAGAGACAAAGATGCAGAGAGATTGCAAGGCTGTGTTGTCTATAACTTGAAAATATCCTTGGTTTTCTAGGTCCCTTTGATAGCATACGGCAGACCTGGGAAGAGCCTTGTGCACCTGCTTTCAGCCCCACGACTTCCCTCAGCTCTATCATAAGGACACCTAAATGTTACCATATCTCCTCTCTAAATGAAAATGCTGCCAAGCGCCTGTGCAGGCGATACTCTCAGAAACTGATCCAGCATACCACCTGCCAACTCCTGAGAACATATCCTGCAGCAACACGCATTGACTCCTCCAACCCTCACCCCCTTCTGTTCTGGCTGCATGGGATACAGTTAGTAGCACTGAACTACCAAACTGATGGTATGGACCCAGCAACTATTAGTGCTATGTGTTTTAGATACACACACACACACCCCGGTACACATTTCTGACATCAGAAAATAAGAGATTCGTTTTTGGTTTTGTCACGTGTGTGCCTCTCCTTAGTATATCTGGGGGTTCACAGATGGAACAAAATTAAATTTGACAGAAATCACACAGATATGCTCTTCCCTGTTTCACTCTCCACTCAGAATCAATAAGATCCAAGGCATCCCGCCACGTGCATCTGCACAAATGCGTGTAGCATGGTGCAATAGCCAACGGATAATTCTGTGTTTGGAAAGAGATGCGCAAAGAAACTTCTGCATGCAGTACCGAGCAGAATCACACCCTTCGAAACAAGTTGAGTACAATGGATTTAGAAGGGTATAACTCTGCTTGGGATTGGACTGCTAGAGTGGTCATCCTAGCCACGACCACTTCCATGTCATTCACTGACACAGGGGAGAGATTTATTTATTTATTTATTTATTTACTCCGTTTATACCCCACCCTCCCTGCCGAAGCAGGCTCATGGTGGCAGTGTTTGAACCAGTTGCATAGCAAACTCTTCTGCTAGTCTGGATTAGTTTCAGAGATTAGAAAATGTATTTGACCGGTGAAATGGTCATGTACTAGGATCAGATCCAGACTACGGCCCTTTCTGCACTCTTCTTTTAATCCATGTTCACCGCAGTGTCCTCCAAGCAATTCTTCACTATAATTGAATTCAACCTTCTTTTTATTCCGTCCCGTTCCCCCCCCCCCCCCCCCCCCCCAATACATTCCCTCCCTTCAGTGGTCAGCATTGTTTCAGCCTGCTGCTGCCCCAGGTTTTTTGGATTCTGTTTTGCCTTCCCTCATCTGAAACACTGAGAAAATCCGGAGTAGCAGGCAAATGCGGAAAGGACCCAAACTGACAAATTCCAACGGTTTCCCCCCTTCTCAGCCACCCCCCCTCCAGTGTCATTCCTCAGGGTTTCCCATCCCCCAGGAACAGTTTTTTTATAGAGATCAATGGGCTGTACTGGGAAGAGGGAGGCAGGAATGTTCCACTGCGCCATTAGAAAACTTAGTCTGTATCTAGCCCTAAGAACACAAGAAGGCTGCTGGATCAGACCAGTGGTCCATCTAATCCAGCATCCTGTCTCACACATGGGTCACCCAGTTGCTCTGGAGGACCAGCTACAGGGCATAGAGGCCGAGGACAGGACAGCAAAGAGGCTCATTTCCCCATGTAACCTCGAACCATGGTTTATCGCTGCATAAGTGATGTGTTGGGTTCCTGCACTCCCCTCCCCCTCTCGTCTTGTGTGCTGGGAGGCCTCTTAGTGTATTGAGCCCAACCACAACCTGCCATTACCTCTCCTTATGCAGCAGAACATATTGTGGAGCAATAACACACTACTGGGAAGTAGCATCCATCAGTGTTTTCAAACAAGCTCAGAGACCTGTTGATGCCTAACAAGACATACAGAGGCATGTGGAAACATAAGGAAAAAGTAGCCCTAGCAAATAGTTTTCTGCCTGTCCATAAAGGTAGCACACACAGCCAACCCTACAATGCTTTCAGGAGGTGGACTGGCTATGTTACTAGTGCAAATGTAGCCACAGTGAGACAGTGCGCTCCACAAAGCAGTTAACAATTACTGCTTGGTTTTAGTTCTGCTGAAATCAAAACTTAAGTTAGGTTGACTGCTTCTGTGCCTTATTCAGAAAGGAATTTTCCTAAAACAAGCATTTGTATGTAGCCTTTGTTATCTGCGCTTCTAATAAATATGACTACACATAATTGACTTAAATGTTGTCTTCTTGTAATCTTCTAAGGCAAAGTGGTTGGTTAAGTAAATTAAAATTTGTGGCCGTATCTTCATTAGAAGGAACTGAACTGGAAATTTGGTATTGCTTTGAAGCTTTTAGAGTTTGGTCAATTAGAGTTGCAATTTCACAGATGCCTCTGTCAATTAATGGAGCTCTACAAGACTGAAATTAAATAGCATATTTCAAAATCAAAACTGTACTGTGTTTTGAATGTGCCTTTCTGCAAGTCTAAACAATTCTTAATTTTGAAATTCTGTACTTCTGTAGATCTTTCTCTGCACCTGAATGCGGCTATGTTTGAAGCAAATGGTGGCTGTGGGTATGTTCTGAAACCACCTGTTTTATGGGATAAGAACTGCCCAATGTATCAGTACTTTTGTCCCTTAGAACGAGATCTGGACAATATGGAACCAGCTATTTACTCACTGACAGTAAGTATAATCTATTAAGAATCTTCTCTAGAACAAGTAACAGATTAATGCTCCTGTGTGGTATGTCTTTATATTCCTGTTGTTAATAAGTTTAGTATAATTAAATATGGGATTAGGGAGGAGGAGGAAGAAGGTAATGCTCAAATGTTAAACTTCTTCCTTGATGCAACAGGAGTGGTTCATGTACACAGATTGTTTTAATGCACACATATTTTGGATTTGATGTTGGGATGGCACGTAGACCACCAAGCAAGTGATTGCAGTCCTGGGGACAAGGGAGCAAGCGAGGGCTCAGAGGGGAATAACGAAGCCAACCACATAACTGGAGAGAACACAGGCCACAGTCACAGGAGCATTGGCACAGCACAGGGCATGGATCCAGCATCGGGTGACCTGTCTGTAGACCAATGGCATCAACTATCCATCCAGCCTGCCTGCTGGGGGAGCCTACATGAGATGACAAGTCCCGAGGTCCCACGTGGGTGCAAGCCACTATGCGACAACCTTGCTGATCAGCCACACCCCCAAGACCCTTTATGAGGACCCCCAGGCCAGAGTAGGCTCAGCCGTTTCCCAAAATTGTATCTGGCCCGATGTCCAAACTGCCTATGAAAAGCTGTGATGAGGGCATGCAGAAACAAAATAAATTACAACACAACTGCAAAGCTCTGAGACCGAGGGAGGGAGGGTGGGGAAGCTGGAGCTAACAGACAACGGGGCTCTGATGGCAGCCAGTACGGGGGGGGGGGGTCACAGAGTGAAAACTCTGGTCTCCAGGTCTGCCTAGAGGCCCCGCCCCCTGGCAGCCAGCACAATTGGCTAGCCTGTGCTCCAGCTGAGGCCAGTCCCTGTGGCTCACCACCACAGAGCAGAGAGAAGGAAGGAGGATCCTTCTCCTTTGCCCATTTCTGGCCCTGCGGCCACCAAAACAGCCCCAGGTGATTACAGGAGTTGTTGCTTTGTAGTTCCAGAAGTGGTTTGCCATTTAGATGATCACTCAGGGCGGTGCCTACTCAGAGCAGAACAGGCAAGAAATAAATTTTCGAGTGCTGTTATGGTTCCTTTGACATAAACATATATTAGTACCTGTTGGTATGACACTTTTGAGACCAGCTTTTAATTTAGTTCTGTACGCATGGTAAGTCCTTGTCACTTTGAGAAAGAGGGGTTATAAAACTCACATTGTGCGCTTATGCGGTGTTTCAGATTGTGTCTGGACAGAATGTTTGTCCTGGTAACAGCACAGGAAGCCCGTGTATTGAAGTGGATGTGCTTGGAATGCCTCTGGATAGCTGCCATTTCCGTACGAAGCCCATTCATCGCAATACTCTGAACCCCATGTGGAGTGAACAGTTTCTTTTCAGGATTCATTTTGAGGATCTAGTCTTCCTTCGTTTTGCAGTTGTTGAAAACAGTAGCTCAGCTGTGATGGCGCAAAGAATCATTCCACTGAAGGCGCTAAAAAGAGGTAAAATGCAGTTTGTATGTTGAGAATAAATACTTTGCTGCTGCTGAGTATGAAACCGAATTATGTTTTGGGGAAAGCAGCTGCCACAGTGATATGTTTTCTCCTATGTGTCTTCTCTGTAACGTTTGCCAAAAAATGGAAGATGGAGCATCTTCAGGTTTCCTAGGCCTTACTGGAGTTCTCTGGCCGCTGCTTCCAGGAGGCAGGGAGAGTGAGCAGAATGACATCACAGTGGTTGCCCCCCCCCCCCGGGGTTACTGGGGTGCCAAAGGGTTTAGGATTAGTAGCAGCCATTAAAGCCCTTTAGCCCCTCTGGTAGTTTTATATATTGCACTCTCCGTTAAAAATGTGTTAAAATTGCTAGTTAAGTATGGAGGAGAGAAAGACAGTAGCAGATACTGAAGTCTTAAGTAGCTACAAGCATTGTGTGCTCACTAAAACTATAATGTCTGACATGCATTTGGAAGTGTTTGCTGGAAAACAAAAACACGTTCATGTTTCTGAAAGGTGTGTTTCTGTGGTTTTCATAATGTAACAACGAAGTTCAAGTGGTTTAAACATGAGGGTTTTAGCAGGTTCACAGTACCAGTTTTGTGTTGGTACAAAGGGTTTTGTGTTGGTGCAGACTCCAGGGCAAAGGAATAGTTTCCTGAGAGTTTCCTTTTTTATTGCCTGACACCTGTTACTTTATGTGTATACTTTAGTACATGATGAACTTTAGCAAGTGCATGTTGCTAGCAGGCAGTTAATTCCAAAATATCCCAGCAGCTGCTGTTAGTTGTCTCTCTCTCTAGACCTTTGCACAAAAGGAAGCTCCCCAGCATAGCTGGATGTTTACTGCATGCATACAAATCAGTGTACAAGCTCTCATTTGCTCACAAAGGGCTTCTTTGGTATCTTATATCACAAAAGACATAAAATATTTTAACATCTTAAAATGGCAAATCCTAGGCATTAGGTTGTCAAGGCACCTCGAAATTTCATTGTGGTAAAAATCAGTGTCAGTAATGTGTTTTTTGGGGGGATGATTCTCAGTAGAAGTACATAGTTATTGCATTGGTGAAAAATGAAGGAAGGGGTTCCCCTTTGACCACCCAGAAGGCTGTGTTTGGGATCTGCATGGATAAAAGCCATGTGGAACAGAGGCTGTAATGAGAGAAATTGGCAAAGACACTTGGAGGGGGAGGGGGAGGTTTGTGCACACGTGGGCCAGTCCCCACGTGTGCACAAAAATGCTAAAAGTAGAAAAAAAATTCGGGGGCAAGGGGGGCAAGCGGGGGGGATGGAGGAGACGGAGCTCTTCTCCCCCCCCCGCGAGTATCGCGGGTCCCCGTCTTGTCTTCTATATTTGCTTTCTATACTGACTCCAATACTAAATGGAGTTTTTTTTAAAGCAATAATGGAATTACGATAAAACGAGGGAGAAATCAGGCTAGAGCTAGAGGTTAGCTTGTTATGGTGGAATTGACAACCAGGGTTACTTACAAAACTTTCATCATAGCTTTAATAAAACTACAAGCAACTGTGAAGAGATTAGGATTAGGTTTTGTGGTAGAAATAACTTGAAAATGCAGTCATTAAAAAACCCTACACTTAAAACAAAATTTGTCAAGACATGTTTAAGACACAGTAAATGATCACTGTTGTATTTTGCTATGCAAAGCATGTACCCTGTGATTTCACTGGCCTGCTCTCCCACCTTTAAGGGTGCAGGCATCTTCAGCTGCGAAGCCTGCATAATGAAGTATTAGAAATCTCAAGTTTGTTTATTAACAGTCGGAGAATGGAAGAAAATTCCACTGGAAATGTTCTACCTGCTTCTTTGGTAACTTAATTCAAGTCAAATCACTGTTTTTATGGGTTCAATTGTGCATTCAGAAGATGCTCGTGGGGGTGGATCTTCCCTGTTTCCACAGCAGCTCTCAGCAGGCCCCCCCCCATTGTCAAGGGTCATGAAACACCCCCAATAGATAAAAAAAATCCACAGACAGAGGGCTGCAGCATGCAGGAGGAGTTGGCCAAAGTGGCCAACAAGGCTTGGGGGAGGAAGCTCAGCAGAACAAGATCTCTCCTGGTGACAAGGCAAGATGGGGGCAGCCTTGCCAGACCCCCCTCTCTGTTGGGACTCCAGCATTGCCCTTTCCAGGATCTCAGAGAGCTGCTGTGGGTAAGGGGTAGGGCAGGGGAAGCTCTGGCACTGCCCCCCCCCCGGTTCATCCTTGCCTACTGTCCATGAGCTAACATGATAATGAGAACGTGAGATTCTGAAATATACCTGCTCAGTTTCTTCTGAACGTTTGACTGTAGAAGTCATTTAAGCCTTCTATTCTGAATTAGCATAGATGTATCTATCTATTGCATTTTTACCCATCCTTCCTCCAATAAGTTCAAAGTGGAGTACATCATTTTCTCCTCTCCCCCTTTATCCTTGCAGGACCCCTGGGGAGGCAGGTTAGGCTGAGGTGAAATAACTAGCTTCAAATCACCCAGGAGCTTTCATGGCTGATTGAGATTTAGAAACTGGATGTGCCCCACCCTGTTCTGGCAGCCTAACAACCATAAGGTAAAGTCAGTAACACTGGCTTTCATACCTTCTGTTCTTTCTTCATTCTCCTTTTTATTATCGCCAGTGTTATTGACTTTACCTTATTTGCTGAAATACAGTTAAAGATGCTGCTGAATGAATAGTTCAGCCTTCTTTTCATCTCCCCCTCCACGGTACAGGGTCCAGCACCTGAAGACTTTCCTGACTTATTTGGCATCTGCTCAGTGAACCTAGATTATCACTTCAGGAGCCATCCAGAATTAAAATTAGTTGAAGGCAATCTATTACTCTACACCACAGGCGATTCCAGCAGCTAATTTCTTCCTGTGATAACCATTTCTTAGTCATATCCTGTTTGGAATTGTACATAGGTTTGTTTACCGTTTCATTACACTTCCTCCCCACACGCACCAGCTGAGCCACATCTCCCTGTGCTCCGTTTTGCTCCTCAAGATGTACTTATTAAATATGCATATATTTGTTAAATAATAAAAGTGCTGAATAAATAATACAGGTACGTGTTTGTTTCGAGCAGCGGTTCGGCACAGCCGAGAAGAGAGCATCTGTGGTATCGAAAGCCACGATACATGGAGTTCCAGGCCCAGAACCTTTCACGGTTTTTACTGTAAGGGAAGGGATGTCAGCAGCACGGCTTCTGCATCAAGTAAGTGTCCGCTTTTAGCCTCCATAGATTTTTTTTGTTTTATTTTACTTCATTTATCCCCAGTGGAGGCCAAAGGTGGCTTATATCATTCTGTCCCCCATTTTATCCTCACAACCCTGTGAGTTAGATTGGGCCAGGAGCGTGTGACTGGCCCAAGCTTACCAGGCGAGCGTCCATGGCAGAATGGGGATTTGAACCTGAGTGTCTCAGATCCTAGTCTGACACTCTAATACCGTAGATCTCACCCTGACCTGGATAGCCCAGGCTAGCCTGAGCCCATCAGATCTTGGAAGCTAAGCAGGGTCGGCCTTGGCTAGTATATGGAAGGGCGACCTCTAAGGAATACCAGGGGTGCGACACAGAGGCAGGCAATGGCAAACCACTTCTGAAACATCTCTTGCCTTAAAAACAAGTCTAGCTTGTCACCTAGTGGTGCATAATGCTAAAAGAGCTAGAACTTCTGGCTGCCAGACAATCTTAGGATCTCCTGGCTATTCTACACACAATGCCATGTGATGATGATAATAACAATAACTGTAGATCTCAAATGTACAGTAGCCATCTGTCTACCATGCTGTGCCTTCCTTAATGTTTATCCTTAATATTTCATTAGGCAGCCTCATGCTTTATTGTACATTTAAGTTACAGGTTATAACATTAATGGCAATACATTAGGTAAGAAAAGGCTCATCAAATCCAGTGTTTCCTCCAGGAATACTAATTACCATTCTGACTATTGGCCATTTTTGCCATACTGCCTCTGTGAGAGAAAACTGTGTTGTTCTTCCGCGAGGCTTCCTCGCTAATGTTAACACAGCTGTCTTTATTCAGTACATTAAATCCATTTTTCATTCTGAGCAAGACAATAAATGATTTCTTAAAATCCTTCCACACCGTTTCTGTAAAGCAGAGCCATGGTAGGGGAAGCAGAGGTGGACGAGGGGAACAGAACAGCCCTGGAAAAGGTCCCGCTCCCTCCCCTATCATAGCCTTTGATGGAAGACTTTCTGGTGACAGGCCTGGTGGCAGTCCCCAAAGGCTCACTGCCCACACAGCTTGGCTGGGCTTGGCAGTGGCAGCAGCAGTGCAGCTTGGCTGAGCCCGGCAGCGGCAGCAGCATCCACCATGCAGTTCTGCCAGACTTTCCTCAGGGGAAGGCTGACAGGGAGAGGGAAAGGTGAAATAAGAGGGGCAGATAAAAGTGGGTTGACTGGCGAATGGAATGGAGGAAAAGAAGCAGGAAAAAAAGAAAAGGCTATAGGGAATGCCAGGGAAGGGAAAGTGGAACATCGTGGAGGAGGGGGACATAGGGGGAAATGAGATCCCCTTCCCCCCGCAAGTCTGTGCGGATCCTCCACTTGTTAGAATTATAATGTCTATTGTGGATGGGGGGGGTCTGCTTTCTGAATGGTGGACAGGCTGGTTGCTCTTGTCAGCAAAGGAGAGCTTTTGTGCACAGTTTCTTCTGCTCAAACATCACTGAAATGCAAAATAAAAGTTAAAAGGGCTAAGTTCATGAGTGGAAAAACTTCATACTGGTTATCTCAACAGAGGCTGTTATTCCAGCAGTGGGAAAATGCTCTTCTGTCCTGGGGTTATGAATAAATGGTTTGGCAAATCAAACTGGACAGAAATAAGATTTAACAGCATTTGTCTACTCGGAAATAGTAAACCACTCAGATTGCCTCTCCCCCCCCCCCCCGATCTATGTAACCCGAGGAAAGGCACTCTGAATTGCTAGCAATATAGCAAAAAGGCAAAAAGAATGTTTTACTACATGCAAGATTAAATCAATAAAGGGCTTTTGTTATCGGCACAATCAGCTTACTGAACATGCAAGGGTCTGCTGCTCTAATTATGAACATGATTCTCTCCCTTAGATTTTGGCTACCACGAAGGGTATTGGAAACTATCCCACAGACTATTTTTTGATGGAGGAGAAATGCTTCATATCTAAAGAAAGAAATGAGTACAGGAAGCCACCATTCCAGAGAGTTCTCAGTCCGGAGGAGGACCTCATCCAGCTCTTGAACAGCTGGTTTCCAGAGGAAGGCTATGTCGGAAGAATTATCTTTAAAACTCGTGAGGAAGTGAGTCTATTTTGCTTGCTGATATTATCATGAGTGTGACAAAAAGAGCATGTTCCTTGTTTGGGTTACTGGAATTTGTTCTTGCGGATGCAGAGGACCGAAAAGGAGCAACACAGAACCAGCTGAGCTGCTGCTCACGATTAATGGGCTGGAGGGTGGTGCACCACGGAAAAGACAGCACGATTTATCACTGAAATTGAATTCATCAGTTTATCCTCAGGGCAGTTTTATTTTTACATTTTAAAGTGCTTTGCTTCCAAAAATGTTCATTATGGTCCATTCCTCACTCCTTCCTGGGTATTCTCATAGTTAGAAATGTAGCCTGTTTTTCATACACAGTGGTCACAATCCAGCACAGATATAAAGAAGTTTAAGCATGCCCCAATCATGTGTTGTGTTGTGGCTGCTATGTTATTCTGTCTTTGTTGGCATATCTAGATTTGTTTGGTTTTTTCCCTACACCTTTTCCTTCCATATTTTAACATTTCTGATACACTTCTTGTTACAAGAAGTGACTTTGTAACCCGCCCTGGGCCCATCTGTGGGGAGGGCAGGATAAAAATCAAATCAATCAATCAATAATGATGAATTCTTGTTAGGTAATTATCATACCTAGAAAGTGCACATTGGGACCCAGACAAAATTTCCCACTAACAGAAGAGGTGGGGCATTTCCACCACCAGTCCCCCTTTCCCGCCACAGTCTCCTGTTTTGCCCCTGACCGCTGCTCTGAGGATCTCCTGTCACCTGGGATCCGCATTTTACAAGCAGCAGGAAGGGGGGCAGCACGAACATTCACTTCTACTCGGCGGAGGTGGCTTGCATGAGCAGAAAATTCAGTTGGGGTTGTTTTTAAGAGGGGCATGGTCCACCCATAATTAAGCACTCTTAGGGATTGCAGGTAACAACAAAAAACATGGTAGGTCACTCATCGCTCCAGGTGTGTGTAGCTCAGTAATGAAATATTTCCGCATTCACAGCAAACAGTATGTTAGTGTCACTTCCAATCCACAAACTATAGTTTGTTCTGTTCTCCCCAAACCATGATTTCAAACCTAGAATTAAACCATTTAGAATTCTGCTTTGGAGGGAGAGAAACAAAACCAAATAATAGTTTGTGATTCAGACACACAGTAACAAATACTGGCTTGAATTCCACCGTTGTATTTTTCAGTGTATGCATAAGACATTTTAAATATATGTTATGCTGTGAACGTGATAAATATAGATTTGCATACACTTGCAAGAAATTGCAAGTAGATAAATAGGTACCACTTCAGTGGGAAGGTAACAGCGTTCCGTGCACCTTGGTGTTTAGTCATGCCGGCCACATGACCACGGAAACATCTTCGGACAGCGCCGGCTCTTCGGCTTTGAAACGGAGATGAGCACCACAACCCTAGAGTTGGATTCGACTGGCTTTTGAGCAAGGGAACCTTTACCTTACACTTGCATTATAAGGTAATATAATCAGGAAGTCAGTATCGGCTGAGGGTGCACTTGCTGGCAAACTTGAGTTTGTAATGCAATGTGTGAAGAGGCCGCACTCTGTCCTATTGACTGAAGTGGAATGCTGTTGAAATCAGTGGAATTTATAGTGACCAAACGTAGCCTGGATAGTACCTTAAATTGTTTATTCACCATCCAGACAATTGAGGATTATTCAGTGAATTTGTCTTTATAGTACATTTTTATCCCATAGTTCTATGCATTTTTCAGCACAAGAAATATGAAAAGGGTATTGATTTGTATGGGAAGCCTTGACAGGTTGGATACAACTCAGGGGCAGTGTTCCCTCTAAGCTGAGTTAGTGTGAGCCAGCTCACAGTTTTTTAGCCTCTGGCTCACACATTTTTGTCTTCGCTCAGGAAGGATGGCTCCAGAGCAAACTAACTCAATGCAGTAGCCAAATTGCTTGCTCACAATTTTAATGCCAGCAGCTCACAAAGTAGAATTTTTGCTCACAAGACTCCATGGCTTAGAGGGAACTTTGCTCAGGGGTTTATACTGTTTACCCTAATCCAGTGGATGGCATGAAAAAATAGAGCCCTTTTCCATTTAGGAAAACAAGAGTGGAGAGGGAATGAGATCCTGCCATAGGCTGTGTGCATGTTTCTGTCTGTACAAAGTTCAGTAGTAAGCTGACAGAAGGAAATTGCCCAGGTCACCAATGACTCCTATGTGTTATTGAGGCAGGTAAGGCAAACCACAAAACTATGTTGTTGGCACCTAAACTTGGCAACAGTGTATAGTGAACATAGCCAAGATGTGAGACTTCCTTGTATTTTGGAGAAGATGGGGCTGGCTGATTTTTATTCCTGAGAAACAAAAAGGTTCAATAACTTAGATACCATTTCTGATGGAAGTGAAGTGTAGGGCCTTGGGGTTTTTTTGCAGGCAGTTGTGGTCATATAAATGCTTTAAATAAAGCTCATTCCCTCCTTCCCCCTAAAGTTGGCCTTTAAGACAACTTGCAATTTAAGCAATACATCAAAACAAACTTAAAAACAATACAGCCTAAAACCATAAAAAACTAAATAAGTAGTGTTTACAAATAGTACAATTGTTCATACTATTTGCCATCAGTTTTTGACTACTGCTAGGAAGTTAACAGTATTGACAGGCCCCAGGTAAATATGCTTGGAGAGAGTTCCTCAACTGAAATGTTACCACAGCAAAACCACACACCGGGATTTTGAAAGCAGGGCCTCAGATACTTCAGGGGGCAGGCCAGTTAATAAGAGCAGTCCTTTAGTCACTCCAGCCTGTTAGTGAATTTTTCCTGTAAAAAATTTCCTGCAAGGCCAGGAAATGTGCCACTGATAACTTGTTTGTGGAACCTTTCTGTTCATGTGCTGAATGTGTGCTGGGCAGCTAAGCAGCCATGAAATCATTTGATCATGGCCTGAACTGCAGTGAAGATCACACTGGGCTGCATGCATCAGTCCGTCCCTCTTGCCAAAAGAACGGGCTCTTCTTTCTGCTATTTGGACAGCAAGGAAGACTCTGTGACTTAGAAATTTCCTAAATTCATAAAAGTTTGTATTATACGTGCAAGTGAAAGCACTGACTGGCCACTGGCTCTTCCTGTTCCCCCCCACACACCACATTAAGCGCAGAAACAATGCATTGACAGCTTCTGCATCCCAGCAAGTGACACTGGCCTCCTTTTCAGAACCAACCAAGTCTACTTTTCATGTTTTGATGTTTTTCTATAGAGCTTGAATAGGAGAAATCTCTTTCAGGAGGAGAAAGACGAAGCGATCACTAGCTCTGAGGATGACAGCTTCTTTGTCCAAGTTCACGACGTTTCCCCCGAACAGCCTCGGACAGTCATAAAAGCTCCTCGATTCAGCACAGCCCAGGATGTCATCCAGCAGGTAGGTCGTCTTCCTTCAGCTTTTCCTTTCATTACCATCCCTAAAGCACTGCACTGGTCTCTCGTGGGGCTGAAAGACATATAAGATATACCACATGGAGGGACTGTTTGGCATGTCCTTCACTTACCATGGTGGGTTCTGAGCAAATGCCAGTTCTGAGCACAACAGCCAATAAGACTGGGTTGTAGATGAATAACGGCCTTTGGGAGTAAATTATTTATCAGTAAGTTAGGCAGAATTTTAATTCAACAAATGAACAGTTCCTAATTATGTTAGCTTGCCCTACAGATCGACAGAAGGTAACCAGCTTTTGCTCCCGTTTCCTTTATGTTTAGACCTTATGTAAAGCCAAATACTCCTACAGCATTCTGAACAACCCCAACCCCAGTGACTATGTGCTCTTGGAGGAAGTGACAAAAGAGTCCGCCAATAAGAAGACATCGACCCCCAAAACTGCTCAGAGGATTCTCTCCGACCAGGAGTGTGTGTTTCAGGCTCAAAGAAAGTGGAAAGGAGCTGGGAAATTTATCCTTAAACTTAAAGAACAGGTAAAAGTAAGTTTTAATACTGAAGGTTTTTGTTTTTCAAGGTTTACGGTTTGTTTACACTCGCCATGTAGGAAACAAAAAATAATCTTCAACCAAAAAAAAGGCTTATATTCATTTTGTAAAAGCACCACCCCATTCCGTTTAATGGGTCTGTATTCTAAGTAACGTCCTACTCATTTAGAGCCGCCCTGAGCCTGCTTCGGTGGGGAGGGCGGGATAGAAATCAAATAACTAAATAAATAATTAATTAAAGGAAATCTTACCTTGCTTTTTAAAAATGATTTTCTTGAGGACATCGTTAAATATGAACCTTACCTTTTGAAGGTTCGCCTGCAGGAAAACTTGGGAGAACAGCAGGGGAATGGAGTTACCACAGGATATTTCCCCCACTATGAATCATCTAGCAGGTGTTTTTTTTACAGTGTGAAACTGTTTGAAAGTTTATTTGATGAAGCTTTGCTATTGTCACCACACGACCTAAACAAAACAGTGAAGTGACAATATTCTTGCCGTTCGATCATTTCTTTTGTCTGACTTCTGCAGACCAGTCGTGAAGATAAAAGAAAAGGCCTCTCGTTTGCTAATGAATTTAAGAAACTGACCAAATCAAAGCAGTACAGGGGCTTTATCACCCCACCTCTGCAAACTTCTCCAGAAGGTCCCCAAGGTAAAGATGAAAAGACGGCTTGCAGTTTGACTTTCAGTGACATCATGGAATAACCCTTCAGTGTTTTGTATTCAGGTATGATCTGTTGACCGTGCTCTAAATAAAATGCAGCTCATACTTTGCAAGGGCATGATACACAGTTGGTGTAGGTGTACCTTACATGGACAAACATGCTGAGTTCTAGTGGTGTGACTATCAGGTCCTGGCCAGTAAGAGATTTTTGAAAAATTAGACTGAAAAACCTTTCCAAAACAATAGTCTGTCCCAAAATAATAAATGAGCCTTAGCTAAGAAGTAGTGTACTGAAATGTCTTTTCACGTACATTTGCAGCCAGTTGCCCTTTAATTTTTAGGGATCCATGTATTATGAAACAGGGAAGAGAGCAACAGGTAGAATATTCTTTCCATTGAGCTAAATTTATGATTGCATTCACAGGGCAACTTCTCATGCATCCGTTAAGCCCTGTTCTACTTAACAAGAGCTTTTACAGATAATTAGATTCCGGAGCAACATAGTTGCCACAAAGTAGTTTCATGAGACCCAGAAGCCTTTCCTTAATTGCTTGTTTTTCACCCAGTAGTGGGCGGCTGTGCATCACAGGAACCTGTTGGTTTGTGCCCAGGATGTCATGGATGACAAATGCCCTCTTGCCCTGACTGCTATATCATTTTGTGACACCCCCCCCCAGTGGACCCCCATTTGCAATGAGATGGTTTCTGAAAATGAAATCATTAAGGGCCTATCGTCAGTTTCACTTCCTGGAGTCATTAGGTAGACTTGAGGAGCGGGAGTGATCACCAACTGACCAGGGGCTGCTCCATCGGTTTATATTGAGTCACCCGCTTCAGTTTTCTTCATGGAGACTTTAAAAGAGGTCAGGCAGCAAAGAAACAATCGCAAAGCTACTTTAACTGAGTGTAGCAGAGTCCAAGTTGGCACAGATGCAAGAGATTTTATCTACAAAGTGCTGAGCAGAACGGTCACAGTGGGCAACCAAGCAGTCCACCTCTCCCTGCCGGCCAGATCCCAACAGGCCTCTTACCACCCAGAACAACTCCGCCCAGACTACACCGCGCAGACACAGTGGTGACAGAAAAGTGTCGCTTCTTTGTACCATCAGAGCCACAGAGTATGCTTCAAAATGAGCTCACAGTAAACAAAGGGGGTGGGGGGGCAACCTGGGCTCTAACATGAGAGGGCATATCTGGGAGCGATCCTGTTAACTGCCCAGATCATTTCCTCATCCCAGAAGTTAACCAGGTCATCAACAGAATCACCAGCCATGTGAACAAGCAAACAGCAAAGAGAGTCAGGAGGCTACAGTGTGGGAAAAGTGAATGATGGAAGGGGGGGGGAGTGGAGTAATTCTTCCCCCTCCTTCCTTTTTAGCACCTCCAACGGGCAGCAGCTCTCCAGGGGCTTGGGAAAAGAGAGATCGCTCCCCCTGCCCTACTCCTCAACTGTCTGATGCCTGAGCAGACATTTTTATAAATAAGATACATGCCAACCAGTATTAGTTCACACAGGTTGCATAGCCCCAGGAATCAACTTCTCTGGTGTTGGAAAGAACTGGTGGGGGAAGGGCAGAGCAGGAAAGACCCACAAATCCCAGTGCCTACAGATCAACATATCCCTTTGCCACAAACATTCGTCTCAGATAGTTCAGAGACACACTTCCAGTTTTATATAGAATAAGTGTGGGCCCACAGAACTTGCAGTGGTGAATTCCTCCCCCCACTTTCTTACTGGGCCCAGCACGACTCCCAGGCTGCGCTGCTAAAGCCAGGTGGCCCTCCACGACTGTTGGCCTCTTTGCTGGTGAGCCAACCTCCCCCAAAGACCACCAAGCTACTGCCGCTGCAAATGCCAGCTTCCTCTGCCTTCCTCCCCAAGATTGCCGATCTACCACTGCCACGGCTGCTGACCTCCTTGCTGGCGAACCTCCCCCCCCCCTTACCAAGCTATCGCTGCTGCAGCTTCTGGCCTTCCCCCGCAAAGATCACCGAGTGACTGCCACCATGGCTGCCGGCCTCCTGTCCAGCAAGCCCGCCCTTCTAGCCCAAGATCGCTGCACTACTGCTGCCAACTGAAGCCAAACAGCCCTCCGAGGCTGCCAGGCCCACTGTGGCCGATAGCTTCCTAGCTGACAGCCCGTCTCCCCCTTCACATTGCTGCAGTGCTCACTGCCTCGTAGCCCCTCAACTTCCTTCACCTCCATGGAAGGCAGTGTCAACTAGCTGCCATTTTCATGTGCACCTGTCCTTTCCTGACTGGCGCTACGGCGCATGCTTGCTTGCTTGGCTAGCTTGCGTAAACAGCGATAGGGAGGGTCTCCTGAGACCGTGCGAACTAGTGCTGCCAGACCAGGTTATCTGAATAACCTTGAGGAGGGAGGGCTTGTGTTCCACCGTTGGTGTGAATATTTCTGCTCTCATGAGGCACGGAGACTCTCCCGTTCATTATGTAACCTCCCGCCGGGAGAATTCCCCCGCACGCGCTTGGATTTCATTTGCTTAGCCATTTGCAGCATCATGCTATATGAAGGGATGCATCCACCCCATTGTCATTCCTAACAATATCCCTGTAGACCATGGCAACAGACCTGTAATCTAATAAAGCATAACATTTCCCTGGAATTGTGTGTGGAGATTTACTTGCTGTTGATCCTGACAGGCAGATGCGTTGACTGCACAGGCAAAACTTTTGTTTGGGGGGGGGGGATTCAACACCCCCCCACACACACCTGATTTAGCTTTTTTAGTATTTCAGCAGCATTTGAGAGATTGTATTTTTTCTCAACTACCCCAAAACAGATTTAAAAACACTTCGAAGAACTCGGCATTGCTTAAATCAGACCTAAACCTTACATTGTTTCTTTTAGAATCTAGGGAACTGACAACTGCAGAGTCGAAGGCAAAATGAAGCTGAGAAAAGCAACGAATATGACCGATCCCATCCCCTTCTGTTGGAGCAGTCGCTCTTAAGGATTTGCGGACTGGAACATGTGCCAGAAATGCCTAAACAAAAGACACAGATATGTGGAGAAAATCCCTGCTTTGGAACCGATTGGCTCAGCAGCGGCTAGGCCTCCTCTGCAGTGTGATCTAGATGCTGCTCTTAGTGGGCAACAACCAGTCTGTGGATGGTTCTGAGGCTTTCGAAGGATGCCCTGGTGGCACACAGAGAGAAGACTCCTTCCTTCTTCACACCCAAACTAGGAGGCTGAAGCAGGCACCTTGAGCTGCCTGTCTCAATTGAGAGTTTGCAGTGTAAGGCTACAGTGTAAGCAGAATAAAATATTTTAATTAAGCATCTTAAGGGAAAATGAAGGCTGAGGATGTACGATGGTGTGTTATATAAAAGTAATGCACTATTAATTTTTTTTTTTAAACCCTCTGTATACACACTTTTAGGTGATTACAGGCAGATTTAGGTAAATTGTAACTCACAGATTTCGGTACAGTAAATATACACAACTATTTATGGTTTGTCTACTTAATGTCAATGTACAGCCAGGATACATACTTTGGTAATGATGCTTTGTTTAGGAGCAACATTTCTTTAACGCAGCATATCTTGGTTTTCCTGTTTATTATTTATTTTAAAAGTCCAAGGTATGTGCCACTGTATAATGTATTTATCATACCTTGCTTTATAGAACTCTACATAGCTTTGCAGAAAATTCTACATGTCTCTTGGTTTAGAGGAGAAATGCTTCATTTAGTGAAAAGTACTTTCAGGAAAGAAAAATCTTTTCCTCCCAAAAAAACATTTACAATATTGGTCAGCAGAGATATTAAACCTAACCACTTCATGTTTTACTTCTGAATTCTTAATAGAAATGCCAGTGTAGTACTGAAGTTTAAAATATCTATTTTCAAATCTGTTTGGTACTTCCGTAGCTGGCAGCATTATTTAAAGAGCCTGTAATCTTTAACATAGGAGAACTATATTATTCTGTTGTGTTTTCAGTATATATCTTGTCATTTCTGTTTACATAGAATTACTTGTAAAGGATGTGTATATGTTTGCAAAATCATGAGCTTTGACATTTTTATAAGTCTGTTAGTGCTGGCTGTAACTTTTCTTCTTTTGTTAATGTACTAAGTGCTATTAAAAGCTATTTAATATTACCTGCACAAAACAACAAACAATTCAGGTTGCTTTACTTTCGATAATTATGGCACAAATTAAACTGTTCAACTACCAGCTATAGCACTACACCTGCTGTCCACTGGGGTCATAATGTATGAATAAATCACAAATAGAGCCTGTCAGTTCAAAGCAAGTAAAATGCTGAAAAAACAGATTGGACCTGAATGGAATGTAAAACCTTAATCTGATTGGACAGTCTACAAAGCTTAATGTTTACTGCCTGCAAAATGTACTGTTCACCTCCCAACACAAGAGGAACAGAATAGACTCTGATGAGGCAAAGAAATCAAGTTTATACTAATCTGAGGAAAGATTATCAGTATTTAAACCTAGAAAAGAATGTTGTTTGTTTACATTTAGTCTTTATATTAGAGGAATCGTGTCACCAGAATAGAGTGCCAGACCACAAGAAAGGTGTCCCATGTGCAGACAGCATCCCCTTGAGCAGTAGATTGCAATCGTGAGCCTTAAAAACAAAGTTCTCCTGGATCCTTCCAGCTAAGACAAGACAAATCTGAGGTCTTTTTAAAACCCAAGTGACTAGCTAAAACTGTGGGGGTATGAAGATACTTATCTTCTGAGAGTACACAAAGAAGTTTTTGCATGTGCGTTTTTGATAAAACTCGTGCCACAGAGCACAGTCCAGCTTCTGTGAAATGCTTTTATATAGTACCAGAATTTGGGGAAGCACTTAAGTTGGGGGGGGGGCCTCTATTACAGGAACATTGTGCTTAACTGTTACCAGATGGGCTTCGAAAGTACTAAACTTTCACTGGGGTTACCCACCACTTTTTAATTCTTTGCGATGTAAAATTTAGGACTGCCAATCTGAAGTTGACTAAGGGACAGGGATGAAGACTTTCTCTACACGTCACAGCAATACTACCATTTTTCTTTTTTAAAGCCCTCACTTTGAACCTTCCATCCATGGATCAGACCCCACAGACCACTGTACAGAAGAGGATACTATGCACACTACTACATATCTTCTGACTCATTGGTCACATTTGGAGGCCGGAGGGGACCAATGTTCCCTCTAAGCTGTTGAGTCTTGTGAGCAAAAATTCCACTTTGTGAGCTACCAGCATTAAAGTTGTGAGCGAGCGATCTGGCTACTGCATCAATTAGTTTGCTCTGGAGCCTTCCTGAGCTAAGACAAAAATCTGTGAGCCGGAGGCTAAAAAACTGTGAGCCAGCTCACACTAACTCAGCTTAGAGGGAACACTGGAGGGGACCCAAGAACCTCTAAGTCCCCACCATCCCCACATGCGTTTGGCAGAGTCAGAGCTACCAAGCACAAGGGCACCTGTTCAGGCAGCAGCATAGATGGTGCATTCTGGAGGGCTGTTTGGCCTCACCCCTACAACATGGGGGGGAATTCTAAGTAATCCATCTTTACCCACACTTTTGTTTCTGTTCACCATGTTGAGGATCATGACAAAGATGGTTTTGGGCATACCCAAGTTTCCTGGTGAAGGGCAGTTTACAGCATGGATTCACTGTCTTGCTACAGTGAACTTATCAGGGCTCTTTCTGTAGCAGGAACTCCTTTGCATATTAGGCGACACACCCCTAATGTAGCCAATCCTCCAAGAGCTTACAGTAGCCCCTGTAAGAAGAGCTCTGTAAGCTCTTGGAGGATTGGCTACATTAGAAGTGTGTCACCTAATAGCCAAAGGAGTTCCTGCTACAAAAAGAGCCCCATAACTACGAGCTGAGCATATACTTGTAGGGCACTAAAATACAGCAAAGAGGCCACCAGAGGATTCTGACAGCTCTGCAAGCTCAAGTGTTGTATAGCAAACTTATTCTTTAAATTTCTAAGCAAGAACATACAATATTTCAAAGGCTCAATTGCTTTAACACCACAGGAGGGGGGGGGAACCAAAGCGACCAAGACAATTACCAGGACAGCAGCAAAGAAGAAATTATACTTTTCTTGGAACTACTATGTAATTTTTGCTCATTCTCAAAATGCAGTTGATCAAAGGCTATTTTTGATCACATTGTGGGATGCATTTTACTAAATACTGGACCAAGGTTGTTCGATGCATTTCTGCCTAAAGGCAGTACTCACTATCAATTTGTCCCTAGTGTAGGAGAAGAAAGGATTCCACAGGGAAAAGCCACACATTCTTGTACCACCGTGGTTCACAGACAGTCTCCTGCTGCAGTATTTGTAGTCTCTGTTGTGCAGCAAATGATCTGACCCGCCTGTAGTTACAAATAAGGACAATGAATTCAAAGCTGTACCAAAAGAGCTGAAGTAGTAAAGAATTCCTTTGCATCAGGCAGTGAAAAAATACTATTTGCCCTAAACTAAGAAAAAAATCTAAAAATTTCAGCAATGGTTTAAAAAAACCTCAAAAGGTGCTCAAACCTCACATAAGACACTTTTTAAAAAACATTAGTCTAAATGCATTACATTTCTAGTACCCAAATAAGTTGCGCTCCAGAGAGATGATGCTGAGTAGTTCCAGACTCGGCAGCCAGTGATAAGATAACTTGCTTGCTGCATACTCTTTATCTATTCCCTAAAAAGCCAGGAGGAAAACGAAAGTTGCTTTACTTTTACAGAACAGCCACTAGAAACAAGGTATAGGGGGAAAAAATTATGAATCCTTTAGCTGTCTTTCCATTTCTGTGATGCATCAAACCAATCCAGAGTAGTACCATTGGCCCACAGTGTCTACTACTTGCAGCTGTATACAATTCTTCCCTAGTACTTCTTTTTAAGTCCTCATGCAAGGGAGTTTAAGCAGAGGAAATAGAGGGACAGATCAGCTGTTTTTGCCACTCCAAGACTCCCTTGCATGCTGCTATTCCACTTGCAGACAAAGGACCCCACCAGGTGGGGTCATGAATGCGTACAGATGTCAGAGGAGGAAGGGGTCTTGGGTTTTGCAGCCTCACAAGGCTTTTTTGGGGGTAAAGTTTTTTATGTAATGGCTAGCTTCATCCTGACACTGCATACACTATATCATTTCTGTAGACTTTGGGGTGAAGGGAAGAAGCAGAGTCTTCACCCTTGCCGCTGGACACTAACCCTAATACATTGCAAGCACAAGGGGGAAAGGAGAGAAGACTTACTGCTAATTACAGTAATTCCCCTGTAGCCCATACAGTTCAGTGGTGGTATGAAGAAACAAAACGCACATGAGTGATGGGATGTTACTACGCATGACTGGGTAGCCTTGTATTATTTTTTACCAACTGTTTAAACTTTGCATTAGACACTCCTGGAGTACAAAAAAAGACAGACAAATAGTAGTCCAGACTCTTTAAAATAAGCTATGTATTTTACAAGTAAAACAACTTTCCAATAACCAATTCCTGTTAAAATTTGATGATACTGTACAATATTATACATAACTTCCCTAAATAAAATGAAATCAGACATTCATGGTTTCTGAACACCCAAGACAGAGTCAATTTATTCATTTTGTCTGTTCTGGGAACAGCACAATAAAACTGCCACAACTTCATGTTCCTTCCTTGCCCCAAGTCCTAGCATCCATAGTTTAAAAATAATATAAAATTGGAGTCCTGACTGGAGCCAGTCACTGTGTATTTCGTATATATTTTTTCTTTTAAATAGACTACACAAGCTTGTCACAAGCTAATGAAACAGATGCCTTTAAGTGTTTAGCAAAATCCAGGGTTCCTTGGACAGCAGCCTTTCCAAGTTCAGTCTGAAACAGTTCTCTCAAGTCTTCATTCAGAAAGGACTCCCCTCGTAAAACTTCACCCTGAAATTAAGTATAAACCTTAAGGTTTTCATTGCACAGAAGATATCTTCCACAACAGTGCAGAACTGGTGAGAAGGAGTCTCTTCCACATTTCACAGAAAACCATGATGCCAGAAATTACTCCTTTGAAGGAAACTTTTCCCCCTTAAAGAGCCTGTCCATCTCCCAGTGCCCACCCCCCATTCATTGGGAAGAAGAGAAGAATCAGTCCCTCACCTCATGCTGGGCTGAAAGGTACTCAGAAGGGGTTCTTACAAAGGCCCACAAAGCCAGGGGGGAGGGTTAAGGCTCATCCTTTCCCTGAAACAGCAGAGCTCACTCGACTAATGTCCAGTTAGGATACCCTTAGAAACAGCAACACTCTCTCACTGGACCCCCCCCCCTCAGCCCAGTACAAGATCCTTCCCTCAGGAAAAGGATCACCTGACCCTGTTCTTTGAAGGGACGCAGCAACTACAAGGCCCACACGTTGCCATTTCTAAGCATGTCACAGTCTGGAGAGCAAGCCACCCCACCCTTTTAAAGGACTGGGGGGGGGGGGGGAACGCACCAACCTCTCACCCGGCACTGGGCTGGGTACCAGTGTGTCTTCTAACCATCTACCAGCCCAGAAAGAGGAAGACAGAAGGGAATAGTTCTGGTTGCTGGTAAAATAATGGCCACAAAGTCCAGTAAAATTTTGGAGTCCTCTGATTACAGAAATTAACAATACTGGGGAACAGGTACCTTTTTCCTCGGTATAACTGACGCAATCTGAGGGTTGAAAGTCATTCCTTTCATACTGTAGGCCTCAAAAAGTTCTGTAGGCAACCTACGGTACATGATAAGAGGATTCATCTTAACTATTTGAAGAGAATAACCTGCAACCTAAACACCCACGGTATCGAAAAAGAATGGAGAGCTGACAACTCTTCAGACAAAATTTGATTTGAACAGCTGAATGGCTTTAAAACATATCAAACTGTTTATTCAGGCAGAAACAACAGTGAAGGGGGGGGGGACATGACCTGTAGAC